TCATCGAACGGTGCACTAGAAAACGTCAGTTGGCGTTCGTTCACGCACTCGTTCGGCATAATTATCATCGTCATCGTCATCGCCAATCGTTATCATCAATCATCATTATCCCGACGGTCGTATTGCCCGGTCGTTACGCCTCGACCGCGACAACGACACCTCCTCTTCAGCGCTCGAGATGAGATTTAATCGTCGTCGTCGACGCCCCGCGTGTATTATATTACGGTGTCACGTCAGTCCGATATTTCTCAGACGTTATTATTTACAATAATAATAATCGAAATAATAATACATTTAACTGCGCTGGCGCTCGCACCCTGGCTCGCTCAGAGTATTATTATTATCGTCGTTGGTCGTGTCACGTGCTGTTCGGCGCGCGTACATGTAAATATAGCCCTCGCACTTGGCTGGTAATAATAATCGTATTATATATTTTTTCGAACGTTGTTTTTCATAACGTTTTTATCGCCTCTGCTTGGGAAATAAGTAAAACAAAAGCACTTCTCCGGCTTTGGCCGCAAACCCGTTACTATTGCCACGATAACGATTTATGTATATTTTCAATGCATATTTAATAACAAACGCAATGCAATATTGTGTGCACACATTTCCTATATGGACGGCGTGTATCGTGCCATGCACTATAATACGTATCTAAATATACGTGTATTTAATAATATGCGTGTGCGCTGTTCGAATTCGATCGCGGTGATGAGACACGCGCGCGCGCTGCAGAGGTCGCGCTAGATCTCTCTCGCGCCCGCGGTGATGATGTCACCTCTTCTGGTTCCCCGCCGACGCCTCTACGCCCGCACTCGGGACGGGAAAAAAAAATTACTTAAATAGCGCGTCGTCGTCGTCCTCCTCCTCCTCCACCTCGTCCGCTGCGTCGCCGCAACTCGCTACAACTAGTAACTACAACAGCTTACAGCGTCAGCGACGGAGTATCGTCGGACGTACATGTACGCCGTTTAGTCATCTGCCGAACAACCACTGCCACCACCCCCCTTAGCCCCTCCGATCCGGCATTCCAGAACCGTTTCATCATCGCCACCAGCATGATATCGTCGTCGAATCCCCGCGCTCCGCCCCCGTCAGCCGCCGTCATAATAATATATTTGTTCCATAAATTTCGTCGTCCGCACATGTTCGTCGTCTATACACACTCTACACACACGATAATATATTATTTTACTTGTGCTGCCTCTGTAAACACAATATTATACGACCATGGTAATTAACAGTGTGCTCTTATTATATACCCGCCGCCGTCGCCGCATGACGTGTGGTCCGTTTTCACATCCGCCGAGTCATCGTTACATCGTTATTACTGCAACCGATCGTTCCCATCGTCGTCATCGACACATATGCGCACGAGACGCTGTGTTCGTGGTGTCCGACGGGGCCGACGCGATTCCGTCTCTCTTCCGACGCGCGTCTCATTATTACCGCACTTACCAGTCGAATATCGACGCGGTTTCGTGTGGTTACAGAACGGTCGCGGGTCCTTATTACTATTATATTTTGTTAATCGTCTTCCGTTGTGGTTTCGTTCGGCCACCGCCACCTGGACGCCGCCGACGCCCAACTACCCCCCCCCCCCTGAACCACACCCCGCCAACAAACACCGACATCTCTTTGGTTCGGCCGCCGCGTCAATATTCAAATAATAATAATAATAATAATAATAATTGTATTGTGCGATCGACCGCGATATGCGTGCATGCGGGTCTCCTCTCCTCACCCGACCACCCGCGATCGCCTCGCTGGCGTATTTTTTTCCATTCCAACAATATTCGTATCGAATAATAATCGTGTTCGTGTACAACCGCATTGTGTGCGTATAAAAATGTATATGATATCATACGAAATTATATTTATACAAACGTGCTCGACGCGCCGTATAAAAAACCGTCGTAGTCGCCGTCACGTGTATAATATGTATAACATCGGACGCCGGCCAGAACCGTTCGCTCGTCACGGAGGAAAAAAAAAATTATACACTCGAAATTCCGGATGTCGCGAAAACAAAAAACCCATCCACGTGTGGTGCTGGGCGGCGGTGGTTGCGTCGTTATGCGTATGGTATTGCGAGTGTCCCCCGCCCTCCCTCCCCCGCGGACTACGAACGTAAACTATATTATGGCACGAAACATATATTATATTATATTATTTGATGTGTACAAAAAAAAAACAAACAGTCTACACGACGTGAACGCCACGGAATTTCGGTTTTTTCCCCTCCCCCCACCAACAGCGGCGGCGTCGTCGTCGTCGTCCCAGGTCGTCGAACCCCGACGTCGCGGACGGCGGCGGAGTAGGCGCGAATAGGCCGGCCGCGTGCCTACTCGGACGGCATTTGCGCTGCCGTTGACATTTCGTCACGACTGCAATACGTCTTTGGAAACAGGCCGGTCGAAAAGGTTATTGGGTCGGCCGCGGCCACGCCTCCGGTATGTGCACGGTCGAGGTATGCGCCCGCGGCCGACGTTCAATTACTTATCACCGTGGACAACCCCTTCCCCTCGCCTCAGAGTTACGCGACTTGGCGGAACACAACGACAAAGTGCGGGTTGTTTGTAAATCGGCGGCGCGAGGCAGTGACTACGCCCTTAACGAGTCAACGTGTGCTTTTCGTCCGCGTTTTCTATTATATAAAACGGATATCACAATACAACGGTGTCTATATACCATTATGTGTTTAGTATTGTGTACGAGCCGCCGTCGCCGAGTTAATTAAATTATAAGCCGAATGCGGCTATGTGGCTGTGTCGGTGCGGCGGGCGGGCTACGCCCTCGTCGGCGGTGGCCGTGTCGGCGAGGGTTGTGACGGCCGGCGCGGGGGAAGGGGTAGAGCGGCGTGCGTGTACGACGTTTGCGGTCGGTCACTCCGGCGGTGGTCGCGTCGATCGTGTGTCACTGTCGCGGCCGATGGATCGGCAGACCGTGCGCAAGACGATATTATTATTGTTACGAAAACCGGCCAGGCGACCGCGGACTGGGCGCTGTTTGCTCATCGGAGACGCGCGCGTGCCACTGAGGCGAGATGTACCGACATGGTGAAACCCGAACTCGGACCGGCGGACAAAGTTTCGGGTTCGATTGAAGTCGTTGAAGTCGCCGCACAACTATGACACCATAATAATATCGTCCGTCTGTTGCTGGCGGATTTCGTAAGGCTCGCACGTAGCAATTTAAACACGGCAATAATACAATGTATGCCGCGTGTAAATGGCAATTATTACGCGATTACGGTCATTACGCACGTCTCGTTTGATATTCAAACGATGGCGCTCGGCGAGGGATCTACGCGGCGCGCAACACGCTCCTCCACTCGAGTCGCTCGGTGATAATCATAAATTATAATGTTATGATTATATTATTATTATTATTATTGTTATTATCATAACGGCGGCGGCGACGACGACGACTGTGGCGGAGGCGGGTCGCGTTTGTATCCACACCGCCGCCGACGCCGCCAACGCCGCCGCCGTTATTTAAGTATCATCATTATTATTGTCGACGGCAATCCGCCGCCAATGAAACACAACAATAATGCCCCCTCCGTCACACCGCCACTACCGACGTGTCGAGTGTATAACAATCGGACTTGAAGAGACGCGAAAACAATAACAATAATAGTAATAATGTAATGCTGCCCGACAATAATTATAATGCCTAATGGTATTTCGGTATTGTGTACCGCCGCGGACGTTTCTTCGCGTCAAGGAATGCCGTCGGCAGCGACGACCGCCTCGAGGAGAAACCACCGCCGTCGCAGTCGCGATCGCGTTTTCTCGCCGTCGCCTCGACGGTATTTGTTATCGCGTCGGCTCAGCAGTTGGCGGTTTTATTATTCGCGTCGCCGGACGAGGATCCGGAAGAGCGTCTCGTGTACGTGCGATGTGCGTAATAGTTCGTATAAGGAACCGCCGTCGCACGACCACGATTCACGCGATGCCGTGCAATGTTCGCGGCGGCACGGAACGCGACGCGGTGTGCTTTTTTAAAAGTTTTTACTTAAACAGTTATTCTCTTATAAATAAGTACCTGATAATTCGGACTGGGGACTCGTCGGTTAGCACATTGAAATATTATAATAAAATAATATTTTTATAGTTTGTAAATATCTTAGTAAGGTGCTTATGTAGTTTTTGCTGCAGTTTGATCATCGTCACAAAATTCTCTCGGCTCCCTCGGATTCCACCGAGTTGTTAATATTTGTTGAAAATACAAAGCTACAAATCGATATCGATAGACAATAGGTGATAGGTATCCATATGGAAATTTACAAGGGTTGAACGTTATGAATGAAAGACATTTTAAGATATATATTCCGAAATGTACGTAGAGAAAATAGTGTAGCTAAATGTATGTTGAGTAATGTTTAGTTTAAAAATAAATACAACAATAGTAAATTATTACTTTTATGTATTTTAAAAATAATTATGAAATAATGAAAACAGGTGTTTTTACAGTTAAGGCACTGTTCCAATTTTTTTTTAAGTGCTCAATCGTATAGTACTGCTTTTTCTGATTCTTCGGCCAATGTGTAAACTATAGACAGATCTGGTTTTGCCGTCTTGGCTAGAATATGGTCGTATATTGGAAACATTTCCGGGGTGGAGGAGGACATGAAAAGGGATACATTTGTATTGAAATGTGAGTTGCGTGCTTTTGGCAACAATCGTGAAATGAATTGACTTTAACACAAATTTAATCAACGTGAAATATAATTTACTAGAAATGTAACGTGATTATGTAGGCTATATATATAAGTATTTTATTGAAACAAAATTGTTAACTTTTGGGCGGTTTTTGAACACCCCAAACCTATCTTTTCCCCTAGGTAAGTTAGGATCAATAGTTAATGGCTCACGTTTACAATGTCATATCATTATATTATATAAGTATATAAAATACAACTACGTATACATATAGTATACAAGATCAATATTATCAAATATATAACTGATCGTTTTTTTTTTGGTTTTCCACAGGTGAATGTCGTACCTTACGAGAGGACAACTATCAACTACAGCGTATTCGCCGAGATGATAAAAGCCCAGATTCTTCCAAAGTTGCCGTTAGTGATGAGGATGAGGATTCGGAAGGCCAAGAAGCCGACGGCGGCGGTGCTAATACAATGCCCAGCTTACTGACATCGGGACTTGTTGTAGAAACTATCGAGGGCACAACGGTGAATCTCCCTTGCAGGGTTGCCAATGGTTCTGGTAAGTAATGCAGAATACTTATATAATATGTAGGATTTTTACTTTTCGTCGAAATTGTATTCAGTTAAGTTTAGGGTTTATGTAGTCTATTAATTATTGTATACCCAAGTAGTGTTTACGTATAAATTTTCCTTCCATTTTACTCGTTATTCATGTTAAGCATTGGTAAAAATAGGGGGTCTTAGGAGCTAAGATAAACCAACAAAACTATACTAAGTCACTCCAGCATAAGTTTTCATAAAGAACCTAATTACTAACTACTTAGTCAGTATAGTTTTTTATAATAATTTCGAAATTACAACCCAATAATATTTATTTAATTATATATTGAAAAAACAAATTGAAAAAATTTAAAATGTTCTTTTTGTAGACCAGTATTTCTGATAGATTATAAAAACGTTAGAGTCGTTATTTTCAGTAGAAAATGTGGTAAAGATCGTCACCTACTCTGATTGCTTATAGATATAATGTGATGTATAAAATAGATATCGTATATGTAAATGATGTATCTTATGTACGTTTTAATTTGTATTAGCAAGTTAAAAACTGTGTTAAGTGTGTGTGTGTGTGGGGGGGGGGGAGGGTGATCAACTTATGTTTTTTAAAGTCTATAAAATAAGGAGCTTACATTTCTATAAGTCCCACTAAAATTTAGGCTACTTTCGCCGTTGATGATTATTAAAGTCTTTAAGTTTTAACTTCGAAATAACAAATAATATTAATAACATTTGTGTGGTTTAAATACTGCACTTATTTAATATATACGTATGCATTATGTAAACATGTTTTATTATGTTTATAATTTGATGTTAAATGGACTACCTTCCTAAACCAATTCGATTTATGCCTATATATAGTATATGTACAACCTATTCTAATACTTTTTTCAAAAAAATAATTTAATATAGGTATTGAAATAATTGACTTCGTTCTAAATGTGTTACATTATAGATGACTATGCGGTAATTTGGATCAACGGCACCAAGAGTATAATGACCGACTATTATCCGATGACTACAGACCCGAGGGTCAAACCTGGAACGCAATTGGAGACAGCTGTAGGAATTCAGGAATACACACTCATCATTGAGCAAGTAACTCGGCAGGATTCTGGATCCTACACGTGCAGGATAACAACAACACCCCCCATTGAGATTACCCATACCCTTCGTGTCACACGTCAGTACTTATCTGTATATTTTATTACCCTCTCCGTATTGTCGCCGAGCGCCGGTCTGGCGTCGTCTGCGGCGTAGATAAGATTTTTGTTTGGTTTTTCATTTCGGGGTGAATGAGAATTAATGTGCAAAGTGTGTTGTCGTCGGGACGTTGCGTAAGTTATCACCTCTTAAATTGCAAGTGATTTTTCTTTGGTTCAGCGGGGGGCTGGCTGAAATAACCTTACCCATTTACAACACAAATTTATAACCGGCGCTCGTAGTGACCAATATGTTTATACTTACATTTATTATTTTGTGACTGTGTTTTAATGCATTACGTGGAATTCTTTATGTAGACCCTGCGAAAGTATTGACAGTGCAAGCAATGGGACCCTCGGGGTTGATGCCTAACGTAGGCTCGAAAAAAATGACAGTAAAACAAGGTGAACTAGTGCAACTGGTATGCAGCGTGGCAGGGTACCCGGAACCTACAGTTCAATGGACCAGAAGGGTAATGATTCGCGCTCGTTAACAAATTTACTGTTTTTTAATACGTCCGTGATGTAATTTGTCATATATAGACTAAATACCACCAGCAACCGCTTCAATCGACCACGTCGTCTCCAGACCATGATCAAAAGGTCCCGGATTCTGCATCACCAACTCCCTCGACGGTGGTTGTATCTAACACGAATGAGGTCCGTATCGAATCCGTTGTCGCGTATCGCGATGCCGGTTACTATGAGTGCTCAGCGCACAACAGCATCACCACGGGATCCTCGGGAGGGCCCAACGCGGCAAACGCACATTTAGGAATAGATCTGGAAGTTGAGTGTAAGTAGTAATTTAAATAATTTTTTGAAATACTTACAAAATTAAATTTTAACTAATATTCATTATATTACAATAATGTAATTTATATTTTACATTTTACATTAATCATTATTATTATTATTATTATTATTTAAACCATTGCTTCACATAATAGTATAATACCGTTTTTATTTTGTTCTAAAATATTTCCCCGTAATTTATACCAACAATACAATTATTAATTAATAATTTTATGGCGAACTTAATTTTAAATAACACAATCGTTGTGTGCTCAATTGACAATTGTCATTGGAATTTACGATTCACGAAATTATCATCATACAAATTAATCGAAATAAATCACTCGAAAATATAAATTAAAGCATTCAATACCAATAAAAACACATTTTAAATATTTGACTACAAAATTATTTTAAACCGTATCTGACCACACCAATAAACAAATTCATTTTAAATATTTAACTCTATATAAAAGCATTTAATAAAATACCTGATATACCTACCAATAAAAGTATCTGAATACTTTACAACAATATTGTATAGTATAATAACGATATTGTACAATTTTATGGTCTTCGTTCGTTTTGTTTAACCCTTTGTGTTATTTGCTGCAGTCTTACCAGAAATTGTTGTGCCGCGACTCGTCGTTAACACCGGAGAAACGTACGATGCTCAGATGACATGTATCGTGCAAGCATTTCCCAAGGTGAAAGTCACCTGGGAAAAGGAAATTCTGACCCCGAACGGGCCGCCATCGTCGACACCTGTGGCCGCAGATAGCCCCCACAGCCGGTACGAAACGACCAGGCTACCAGCCTCCCACAACACGATCTCAGGGAACGCAACCACGATACCGGCAGGACCCACTTTCTTGCTCAAAGTGAAAAAGGTGGATGGGCCACAGGATTTTGGTCGATACAGGTGTCGGGCGGAGAACCGTGTGGGCATCTCTTATTCGGATTACATAACGTTGACCGGTAAGGATATACATAATATTTGCATTCTATAATTATACCTCACACATCCATTGTATATTAGATACCACCGTTTTGTAGTACCACCATAGATAATAAAAACATGGATAAAACATAACGTCTTATAAGCGGTGAGCAATGATTACAATTGAGGCCAAATAAGTTATTGCTATATCGAGTATCCACCATCAATATAATATAATATATAATCGTATATTGTACCAAAATTTAAACAAACGGTCTCGATTTGTTATCACTTCACGACCTCAAAAATATAGTGATCCTCAATCTGTGAGGTATCATCCATGTTATTATTACATATGGCCTATAGGTATAACGACTTCACTTAATTGACGAATCGCGAATTGTTTCTTTCTGTTACAGGTTCGCCTGCCCAGCCACAACCGTCGTACGTGCATGTCAATGGCAAGGCACCCGAACTGGCATGGACTGTGGACAGTTTGTCGCCTCTGATGGGGTACCAGTTGCAGTACAGGCGGCAACAGGTATAATATGCTAATAATATAATATGTCATTTTAAATAGGCATTAAACTTGTAGTCATCGTCAATGGCGCCAAAACAAAATTGTATTGCATAGAGTGACACATTATGACATTTACCGCACCAACCACCAAGGCCTATATGTATAAATATTAAATATACACAGCCATGTCTATTATATACATCGATCACTACATCGCTCGAGTTATGCTTTGACTCCATTGCAACTAAATAGGTCATCTCATTTGCAAGGTATCAATGCCATGAACCTTCCCAGGTGCCAAATGATAACCACACTTTTTACTGTAAATTGTTAAACATACCTATGTTTTTTTTGTTGAAAATATTGATGCATCTAAAATTCTAAATTGAAATTCGAAAGAGAAGTAACTGAATGATTAAACTTAACGTAGGCATACTTTTAAGATAATAATAGTTTCACAAAAAATATAAAATAAATGTATTATATACGAGAGCTCAGACAATTTTAATAAATTAATGTTAATTGCTATAATCAGTATAATCTTCAAATGGCCATATAGCCCCCATATACTCTTAACCTTATTATCATGCACTATTAATCTATTACACTTAGTAGGTGCTTAATAAATGTATTATAGAACAGAAATATAGTGTCCCCAAATATATTTTAATTGTGTAAAAAAAAAAAACGACGACTTAAACCATAAATTATAATACTGCCAACGGCCATCGTCGCCTGTTTACCTCTATGTATATCAGTGTTATAACACGCCTATATTGTACGCATTTCACAGGACTCGCCGGCTTCTTGGACTGACGTCAAGCCACAGCCACAGGTGGTCGAGTCGTCTACTGGTGGCAACGCGGGAGACGAGCGCCGGTACTCCGTGTCCTACGTGTTCGGCGACAACGGTCAGGCACAACAGCCGGCCGGAGAGCCCGCGACCGTACCGATCACCTTACAACACGGCACCACGTACGTGGCCCGCCTCAAGGCTCACAACGTTCACGGCTGGTCAGACTGGTCGACGGAAGTCGTGTTTTCTGGTACGTATACGAAACGATGGTAATAATAAAATTAGGACTAGGATTTTTATGCAATGTTATTTTTTCTTGTGTTTTTATAACACATATTCGTAAATGAAAAATGTGTTAGTTAATAGGTACCTACAGATAATTTAAATCTTAAATTGTTTGACCAATTTTACTATTTAGGTAATTTTTGATGTTTTTTTACGGAATTTTCACTACATTTTACTTAAATTCTATATACAAATATAAAAATTATATCGGTACTTATAGTTACGAATTGGTCGACAGCCAGATAGTGACGAAGGTGAATTATCCATACAATAATATTAATATTTAATACATTCTTCGACCACCGTTTTCATGTTATCAAAAAACGAATAATTAAAGAGGTGATATTAATTTGTCTTCACTATCTTTATTATACCATAGATCAGCTGCTCGTACATATATATGTCCAGACATGCAACTCCGTTTGCAATTGTATCACAGGATCGAAATATTAATATTTTAAATACATTTTTAATGTATTTTTTTCGATTTCTTAGTTCATTAAAATCCCATTCCTAATGATAATAATGTGACACCGGGTTGGATGAAACGACATAATGACGATATCAAGCACGTACAATATTTATTATGTATATATTTTGTGATTCGTGCTTGAGCTCGTTTGTCGGTGTACTAAAAAAGCGTTAAAAGGGTAGAAAAAAATATACAAAGTGCCACATTTACTCCCGACGCAGGATTAGAAAAATCGAAAAACTGGATTTTCCAAAATATTTTCTGATCGCCCTGATATAACTCACTCATAATCACAGCTTTCGTTTTTTATTTTTGCACACAGTACCTATAGTCTTACACCGTCCATATTGAATGCGTTGGTCGTAAAGCACTTCAATTTTCTGTGTTATTATTATGTGCCTTGAATTATTATTATTATTATTCGGATGCATGACAAAATATTCCAATCTACAATATTCCATAGCTTTAAGAATTCTACCAGATCATTATTAGTTTTAGAGTTTAAAGTCATCGATAACTTTTACTATTCCGTCGTTAAATTGGTACATTGAATCAAAAAAAAGGTACTCGCCTTTTAAAATTTGAATGTTTTTTCATATGAATTTCATGAATAAATTGATAGGAAAGTTATTAGAAAACATCGAAGAGCCAGTATGACATATAATAATATTGTATAACCGGTCATTTTGGTACTTCTCAAAGACATATCCAGTATAACTTATAGTTGAAAATAAGTTATTTTCAATAAGTTTGAATAAACTGAATAATAATAGTTATACATAACATAAGTTGTACAAATAAATATTAATAATCCTTTTTTTATATTCATATTATGTTTTGGGACGTTTTTAATAATATTATTCCGATTGGGAATACTGAGATATTTTTCGTAGACTCCTTGTATTCTTATGCGCTGCACCACCACATACACACGCTTTGCATTTATTTTTACTTTTTGATGTCATAGACTAAGAAATGTACCCTAGGTAAAATCAATTAAAATTCAACAAACATTTGCCAAATGCCAAAGACCTACTTACTAAACACAACTTCTAAAATCTGAAAGGAATATTAATGGAAAATTAAAATCACGAACGAAAAAGTCTATCGTCCTGAAATGTATTAGAATAGATAACGCGATGCCGATACGACAACAGTGCAAACACGCTATGTGGCGTCGAATAAAACTTAAATGTTAACATATATTTCTATCGAGTCATCACGCATTTAAACTTAATATAAGACAAAAATAATTCCCCGGTCGTAAAACTATACTTGAGCAACTCACCGAATTATCGGTGCCAAAATACATGTCATTTAATTTCAGAGTTATTTTCGAAAACGTTTGTTATTTTTTATTGCTAGGTATCCAAGTATTGACAATATTTATTTTTAGACTTAAGAATTTTGATTTGAATTTGGAATAAAAAAAATAAAATTTATTATAATATTCAAATATTGAAAGAATTCATACATGCAAACATCATAATAAATACATATTTTATGCACCAACCAATACCATCGGTCTATTTGTACCATTTAGTCAATTGTACTTAAAATTGGTTTATTTTAAAATGCCATGACATCCGAACTCTATTACTCTTATTAATATAATTTCACTATTTAACAAAACTGCACGGATTTGGTTCACGCGTTCTTACGCTCACTTGTACGACACCTTGTTTCTAGGTGGAATGGACGATGACCAAGAGGCCAACGAGATTACTCAGTATGACGGACATCAACATAACGACCATGTTTTGAGTAAGTATAAAACTGGTGCACACGCTAGTGCCTAGTGCCAACCGTATCACCACTATACTCTGTAACATTTTAAATGGCTATGATATTGCTTCAATTAGCATTATTAGTTTATCTGCATGCTAGTGCTAGAGCACATTACCCTGCAGCGCACTTATTGGTCTTGAGGGAATTGGTACTCTCCTTATATTTTTAACTGTACATAAGCCAATTTTGTTTCGATCGTTCCCCTTTATGATAGGACTTTTGAAAGCCAGTTTGAACGCGCAATTTTCAATACCACCAAAACCGTATACATTTCGCACCTGTATTTTAAAACGTATGTGAATTACATGATTTTAAATGAAAAGAATAATCGCCATAGTCTATACCTATAACGTTTACTTCGTATTTATTTGGCATTTGCTACTGTAGTTGTTTGAGTCGGTGCCACTACCTGGCGTACACGAAAAATGTTGCGTGATTACCTCACCGCTACACTCAAGTTGGCGGATAGGGTAATATTGTATAGACCGTTTGTTGATACAATTTTCATACCGTAGGTATATATTTCTATCCTTTACCATAATGTAGATCACGTGACACGTATAAACGGCCATTTGCGTATGTGCAAATGCGTCATATTAGTTCCGGTAAAGACGTTTTAATATCTCGTGCAAGCATCAATATTGATTACCACCCACCGTCTATTTAAGATAAACCCCTCCAAGGCTCCATCCCTTATGAATTTGTAATATCTTAGTCATTTTTTAAATTCATACTAACTATTATATACATTATTTTTAGACTCATTCATTATTGATACATTTAATAATTATCTACCAAACCATTTGCATACGACCGTTCCACCTAACCTTCGTTATAGAAGGTTCAAATTATCTCTGACCAAAACGCAACATAGCACATCTACATCACCAAATCCAATCTTGCGTTGATAGCTCTAATATTAGCGTGAGTCTACCTATTATCAAACTTAAAGTTCTGAACATTATATTATATATGTTTGAAAGTTTTATTTTTTACCATAGTTCAATTTGTATGCAAATAATGAGTAAATAAAATATTAAAATGTAAAAATTGAACTATCGTAAATATATCGATGTGCAAATGCATTTAATGCTCTTATCTTAGAGCTTGATAATAGATTGATTCACTCTGATATTAAAACAACAACACAAAATTGGTTCTGTTGAAAGCACATTATTGCGATGTTGCGCTTGGATCAGAGAGAAAACACATATTGCGCTATAATAGATATTTCGGTGCCGCTGCAGTCGTCAATAATAAATTCACATAATATTATAATAACAAAATCTGAAATCTTAAAAAGCGTATCGCCCTAAGGGATTATATATAGGCAATTTTGTGTTGTTTTTGTGTAGTACCTAGTACCCTCTATAATATGTACTATATAATATGTGTTAGCATGAAAAAATTCATTAAATTGATTAGTTTTTAATATAATGAATAAAATAAATATGATAATGTATTATGGTTTATAAGTGGTAATACATATGAGATATGGTTCCTAGAAATAAACGCACAATATGATATTATATTGGCGAAACACCTAGACAATAAGATTAAATTCTATAAACTATAATAATATATTTAATTATAAATAAGTGTTATCAATTTTGTTTGCATAAGGAGCTTATAGGTGGCTCCAAATGTAGTCATATTGTAGGTATCAACAATTTGAAAATACTGGGCCTAACCATGACGATGACTTCTGTGTAACTGATTACTCGTGTTTAAAGTTCAAAATATTTATATCCGGTATGAGTTCATACGTCATAAAATAAACATTTCGACAGGCTTACGAGGCCTGCAATTACAAAGTCCAAAAAATACTTGATTCCAGAACCATTATTTAGTATTTTATGTTTCTCATTGCTCTTATCCATGTCAATATAAGTTTCCCCTAATTAATATTTTTAAAATTACTATCGAGTAGGTATTTATAGGAGAGACCATTCATTTTCATTTTAAATACATATTGTTTCTCTTAACTTTAAATTATAAAAAAATTAAAATTGATGTTTTCAAATAACAACATTAGGTATTTGTTTATTAAACCTTCCCCGAGCGATTTATTAAAAGTTTTTCGATTAAGTAATATGGTTTTAATGGCTAGGTATCCTTTTTAGTTTATCACGGAACTGACGGGAGTCAAATTTTTATGAAATTTGTTTGAAAAATGTATTTAAATAAATACTTATGTACTTAATGGTTTTAAGTTTCAACTGTAAGAATTCAGTATAAACGTTTTGGTTGAAACATGTTTTAAACTAAAAATTAAAATAAATATGATTAAAATTGATAAATTTGTCTACGTGCTGTCTAGTGTTGTCTGTCTGCCGTTTTTGCACATTCCGAGTGACATGCCGACAGTATAGCTGTACAAAAGTTTATCTTGACGCCTGTTGATAAGAAAACAAAATTATATACTTACTCACACGATAAGCATAATACACGATTTTTTTTCAGTGTGGTTCTCAGGCTTAATTGATAACATTATGCGATATAAAACGCAATTAGTAATATTATTAGTTATTACAATAATCTGCAACCAGCGGTGGCACAGCAATTAATGCCCTTGCAGGGGACATTTCCTCCTATGACCGTCATTGTTTTGTACTAATCACTTATCCGGGTTCCCGTTAAGTAATTATTTTAGTTTCCCGAGTTATTGATTAGGTTTTAGTACCACATTGCCATTTTCAAGTTTTATGACTTATCATCACACACCAATTCTTCACATCTAGTTGACATATGAGTATGGTATGATAAATTTAACGCAAACAAAAGAGTCGTTAAAAACGACATGTTTAATAATATTTAATCTACTTTTTTTACGAAGCGTCAAATAAATACGTATTGTACAATACAATTAAAGTAATTTTACTGTGATAGTAAAGTTTTTTTAGGGTTATATATTTTTCATTTACTCATGAACATACATTTCTGTGTGAAAATAAAACAAAAATATGTTTAAATAAATAATTAATAACAGAATTGTTACCACAAAAAGTTTATATGATGATTCATTAAATTACAAACATTTTATGGTAGATATTTTTGTCTTTTATTTCTATGCAATTGAATTTCCGGAGTTTTACTTTTTAGTTTTTTACTTTGAATTATTGCATCTTATTACCTTTAAAGTACTTTTAAACTTGTCAAAAAGTGAGTTAGCTTAAATATAAGTTAGGGTTTTTGGATACCTAAATTAGTATATTTGATATCTATATACGTATATTTTCCGAACATTTAATAGAACAATTCTCTTAAAGTTAAAAGTTTTGATGTCGCCTTAAGTTATAGAATATTGACCTCAAATATAATGGATTTTCTTTATGAGCAGTTGCCAAGTATTTTCTAAACGGTTGATTTTTTATATAGTGCAGCACGATTGTTTATTGTTTTTTTTATTAAAATGTCCAGCCACACAGTTATTATTATTTTTATTTTTAACAAAGTGATGCTTTTACGAAGCATCGTCTATACGTGTTACATTATTGATTGTATAGAACTTGTGAAAGCTAGATTGATTTATCAACTCAGGCACAGAATGGCGATGCGATGAATTTTATTCAAACCCAGATTTTGGGGCCATCAATTTTCAAAATGTGTTTTTGTGTTATATTATATATGCTGTTTATTGTTATTGATATAGGTACGTCCAACACGGAAAATGCGCATTAACTTAAATTGCATACGACACGATAGTTCGTTGGGCCGCGCGCAAAGTTCTATGAAAAATTAAAATCCATTAGGCTATAATTCTGACCGAAATATGTACGCTTGCAAAATTAAAATATAAATTATAGACAAATATAAGTATTTAATTATACTGAGATAATAATCGTTCCGTAATCTATTCATCACAAAAAAAAAAAACAGGACTATAAATTTCGTGTAAATTTATAACTGGTTTTTGTTATTATTAGATTTTTGATTATATCCGAAACATGAACTACCAGGATTATCTAGGTTTGTCGACTTAGGATGTGGAGGTGCCATAGAGGATAGCAGATGACAGGATAATACAACGCATATCATAATTTATTAGGTCGAACATACGAGTGATGACCGATACTGTATTTTAGATACACGCTATCAAGTTGTATTTAATAATAATAATTTAAACCAATTAACTACGCATTCAAACTTTCGTAATACTTTTGTTACCTATATAAAGTTCGAATTAGGGTTTGTTAGGTAAATAATTATTATTATATTAAAATGACAAACAGTGTTTGCATAGATAATTATTGTTATTTGATACGGAAAATCCATAAATTACTCTCGAAAAATGAACAAATGCAAAAAAGAATATACTATACTTATACCACAGCTAGTTAGAGTTTTTAAAAGTTGTGAGGTCATTGCAATGTTAGCCAACTTTATACTAAAACAATGGTCGTTACTTTATGTTGCAAATTGTCACTGAACGATAATATATTTTCCATAAAAAAATTACAAACCCATTATATCTATATGTTACATCCACCTTATTTAGCTGTACTTGAAACAGTATTGATACCTATAATAGCCTAACCAAGACTGAAAACGAAAAGTAACATGATATATATAGGTAATATTAATATCGATAGGTTCAACAGTTGATTAATGTAATGTATACCTAAATAGATATATACAACTTTTATTAAAACTACTTTAATCGGACCCGATTCATCGTCGTTTTCTTCGTTAAGGGATAGGTATATGCTCCTTAGTACACAATATTAGGTACTAATTAATTACTTGACCGGTAATAACACACTAATGTTTGTATTTGTTCGTCTCCACAGAAGCTTCCGTCGGAGACGCTAGCGGTGCATCAGGCCTACAGCAATACTACAGCTCCGCCTTGGTCACCTCCATCGTGTTGGCCGTCACCACACTGGCCGCCACTGCGGCTTCCACCTGTTAGACCGCCGGTCCTGCAGTCCTAGGACGCCGCCGCAACTAAACGTGTACTTCCATCGCCACAACGTCAATAACGGCTGCGAAAATTACTAAGAAAAAAAATTTATATTTATTATTATATTAAATGTACTAAACGCAACAACGACACCATATTATACGCGCACCTACCCGCTGCCGACGTGAGCCTAATTATCTCTATCTCTCTCTTTTTCCTTCTCTTCAAAAATATAGGCTGCCACCGGATAACGGGAGGGGGCGCAAGCAAATTCAAAACGATTACTTACATAAAACCAAAGACAGACACGATGCGACTATAATACTACTACTGCAGTGATTCAAATCATCATTATATTATTATTATATATTGTTGTCGTTATAATTATTATTATCGCCGCTTATTATTATTTTAAATATTATTATTATTATTATTATAATGCGATGGATGTTCGACGGTTTTACGCCTCCTCGATTTATACAATTTAATATTTATATAATTAATTTACCAATATAATATGACCGCTATACAATCATAAACATTCGTAGATTTATTATTTGTTAGGTTAAACATAATATTTGACGCGTTATTATTACGACGTCGTGCGCTTAAATCACCGCCGCTGCCGCCGTCCCGTGTACTCGTCGTACCGCCGTGGTGACCGATGCCGCCGCCGGAGCTTTTTTTTTTTATTTGATCGCCCGTTTCTAAATTATTACTTTCCTACGAGCTCGCGTTGCCCGCTCGCACTTTCAATATTATTATCATCATTATTTTTATTATTATTATTTTTTTTTTCTGTTCACACCACACATGTACAACGATATTACACTGTCGTCACACGGACGCGATAATAGGTATCGCGCACGCTTGATGCGAACGTGTCAAGACCGACCAACAGCAGGACATTTTAGAAACGTCATCATTATGCACTCGCACGACAATAATGTTAATAATAATAATAATAATACTACTAATACACCCGATATGTACCTACGTACTTTGGCTCGTATTATATTATATGGGTACGCGTGCATGTCGTTCGTAGATTTTTAACGAGCGTTTGTTTTCTCATATAATATACGTAGGTATACGATGACACGCGCGACCTGTGCACACACGCGACCCGTCGTCGGAAGAACAGTTATACCTATTTATTTATTTTTTGTTTGTATGTTTTTTACCCCTAAACAAATTGTAAACCATCGCGGGAGCTCACGAGCAGCACTACATCGTAATCGCGGCGGCAACGCGTTTTTTCATTTTTATTTTTTTATAATTATTATCTTTTTTTTTTACAACAATTGATTAGATATAGAATTATAGACTATATATATTATATTATATTATATTATCTTCCACCCTTGTGTCTGTAATGATATATTATTATACGTGTTGTACATAAAACATAAGAAGGGGACAACGCTTTTGTTATTATTATTTTTTTTTTCGTACATTATTATTATTATTAATTATTAATTATTAATTATTAATATTATTAGAATACGATTTGTAGCGCCGCCATGCGCGTCTATGATGCACCTACTTTATATAAATAAATTATACATACTTACTAATAGTGCCGAAATCGAATTTTTTACTACAATTCTTAGACTGCTACAACAATTAAAAACACTACTATTTTATACACGGACAAATGTAGAAATCGAGCTTATATAATACAATATACATTAGTTATAATATTACGAGATAATCAAAATACAATACAAACAGTTATTATTATATTTTTATAACATAATATTTATATACGTTTATGTATATTGTGTATACACTTGTGTGTATTACATTTATACATAATATATATATGTATAGGTTACATAATAACGCTAGTTTTTTTTTCGCTTTTGTGTGTATTTATTATTATTATTTTATTTTTATTTGTATAAGATTACGATGGCAACTATTCTCTTAATTAATTATATATTTTTACTATTTGACTATAAATACACATATGCATAGAATGCGTGCTTGTTATACGTGTGTACTTAAATAATTCATATGCCAGTTTCTGTGCGACCGCTCGATTTTATTATTATTATTATTAATTATTATATTATATGCTGCTATGAAATTAGTATAATTATTATTATATTACTGTTTGTAGCCCCTCTCCGTGTCTGCAGTCTACTTTTATTAGACTACACTATACATGAAATAAAATCAAATTCAAATATAATATTATTGAAAGTATATTTTATATGTGATTATGATATTCGAAATTCAAATCCCTAAATGAAATGAAACTGGAAACTCGGTATGGAAATTCGTGACATAGATGAAACAAAGTGTTGAATCATACCATATTATATGTGTACACTGTACCAATGCTGTTCCAAAGTGATGGCTATGGGAGCTACTTGCATCTGTGATCAACAGGTCTAAAGCTGATCTAAGGAAAGGCTGGTCTTTTCTGACAAGGAAACGGTCCTGCAAGCATGCACAGTGCGAGTCGTGTATGTGCTAAAGACGAAACGTTGATTTTATATTTTATACTTCATAAGTATTAGATTGGAAAATATTGCATACTGCAGTTCCATGTTAAGACATACATTTGAAATTACTCAGGTACTGCTGTTTGCTTATTTTAACAATATTGTGCATATTCAACTTAATGTTAAAGATATGGCGAAAAAAGTCATAAACTTGTAACTCGTAAGTATCATATTTATTATCAGTAAACATTTTAAGTGAACTCAAAGTATCAAACAAATCAATATAATACCAACATATCTGTACTATAACAATATTGCCTAACCCAGGTATGTAGTACAATATTAAAATATAAGACTGATGTCAATTTAGCAAGTAAAGTATTCAATTATTAAATAAAAATCCCAATATTAGACTATTATATTACTATCTGTGTTATTAAGTACACCAATTAATATCATAGTGTAAATTGTAGAGCTAATTTTCAAGTTGATACAACATATTCATTGGCGTTGGATATTTATTATTAATTCTTAATACCGTAACTAATAACTATATCAATACACTATAAACACAAGTTTTTGTTACGTTAACCATGTCTATCCTCCAGTTAAAAAAACATTCAAAGGTTAGATAGGTTAAAAGTTACGTAGGTTCGAAAGGCCTAACTCAGCCTAAGTTGAAAAATTAGGTTCAAACAAATATCAAATATATTGTGTCGACCCCACATTGGGAGGACTGAAAGCCCGAAGTCCTACAGTAGTAATATTAAATAATCTTAAAAAAAATTAGGAAATGTTTAAGGGGGTCTATTGAATTTTTGGGGGATTTGGCCCCCGTAAGCGCCTACACTATTTGCGAATATGATAAACACTACAGATTTCCAAGTGCGGTAAGCATTAGTTGCCAATTCGAGTCTGCAGGTGGCTGTTGTAGCACAAGTTTGTTATCTAATGTGGTCAGCTAGCTACTATATAGGTTGACTGCCATCGACATGCTTCACCGTAACATATAACATATTTTTTTATAGGTACTGCCACCTTGTTGGTTCTTCTCGAAGAACAGAAAAATATTTTTTCGCTTGTTCTTTCTCGTGGTCGTAATGAAGCTTTTTTGACTACAAGAGTGACATCTTCAACAAACTGCTAAAATAAACCAAATTGTATTTATGTCTACTTTTTAATCTCATTTTTATTTGATCAATAACAAAAAATGCATTCTATAAACACTCATAGAAGTGTGGACGTGTGATACACATTATATTATAACATAAATATCACCCATATGTGAAATAAAAATAAAAATATTCAACATTTAAAAATACAAATTGCTTAATGCTGGAGCAATGTCACTAGTCGGTATTATTGGTACTTGTATTTTAATTTTAATTCATTCAATCCCTAAGCGGTTTGTTTGTAATTTAAGTGAGCGTGGATGAATTTTTAATACCTATTATGTCAATTTGAAGGCATTATTGAAAAAATTAAAAGGGCTGTTTTTCTTCACAGTAGATTAGTTGAGTATTCAAAATCACTTGAAATGGGGTTGAGCTTACATCATTTCTTAATAATAAAATATATAATATCATTTTTTCTGATGAAATTTAGCTATATTTCCTATATTTATTGATTTTATCTTATACTAAAAGTTGTTATTTAGGTGCACTTATAGTATATTATAAATGTGTATTAATACACACTATTTTATATACTATATTATTATATAGTAAATCCACTTGGAAGATCATATCATGTATAGTGAGTGATGCTTTAATATGTGATCAGATGATCTTATCATTGATTGTATAATGATGCATAATCTACAGGCTCTTAAACTTATCTATCTGGAGTTTTATACGTAGAAGTACATTATTGGTATATTTATTGCCTATACATGAATAATTATGAGGTTATGGCATTTGTTTTTTTAATTAAAAATAATAAAACATTTTATGTCATACCTATATTAAATTCCAAAGTGAATGTTATTACACCTCATTACAAAACTTAAATATAATTAGTTTTTGTTTTTAATTATTTTTACCATTAACCATGGTCCATGAACACTTTTAATTACAACTTATTTTTGCAATTCATAGAAGGTACTTACTTATTGATGAATATTATTGAACTAACCAACCGATAGTGACGATTTAAACGTTCCTATTATTAAGGATGTTTTTTTTTCAATAATTTTATCTGTCTATCATTTAGAGTATCTACTATCTTTGGGACTAAACGTTGGCGTATTAATTCAGGGTGCGATTTTAACGATTTTAACGAACTTAAATACATTTATTTCTTCATTTAGTTGTATAGAATTAACAAATGTATTGGATCACAAGTATTTTAAATTGATTGTATAGATATGTGTTAAAATTGTGTTTATAATAAATTATCTATTCTTCCATAATAGAAGTATCTACTTACTAAAAAAACAACTCACACCTAGGTGGATTTAATCATGATGTGTGAAAAAAGAATAAAAACATTTAATATGATAAGTTAATGATAAAACACATAATCTTATGATATATTTACTATTCGTCGATTAGATGAGCTGCAGAATCAATTTCAAAACACGTTCAATGTTCAAATCCTTATAGAACAAACCTAATAATGATAATACCGCTTGTTTGGATATCATAATCCAATAATGGCTATCGGCACCTGTGGTAGGTACTATACTATAGTACAGTATATAGTATGCTGACGACTATAGTTTAGTATAGATTATGCTGTACCATTCGAAATTATACATTTATAAGAATATAAAAAGGTGGGCATAGAGTACCGCTTCGCTGTACATTAGGTGTTGTGTGGGTTTCTGTAGTCTGTAATAGATATATTAAATTTGAATTCAATTATATAAATTCAATACTCATTATATATTAGGTACAAATAACGATTCTGAGCGAAGATGGTCTGTTGGCCTATATTACCAAGTATATTTTATAATATTATTGCTATTAAAATAATTTGTTTTACTACCTGTCAGTAATACAGTAGGTAATATTAATTTTTTCAAAAACATTGCATTTGAAAATATTATTGTGTATATAAAATATTATAATAATTTACTTCAAATATTTCAAGTAGGAACCCATGAATAATATTTTTAAAAGACAATAAAATAACTGATATTGATACATTCTTCGTTAAAAATCTCATTTTGTCCAAATTTAAACTTAAAATATCTATATAGAAAAAAAACAATTTGTAATATATTGTTTTAGATTTTTTATTTACAATATAAACTACTTAAGAGAAAAATTGTTTTAAATCTTCAATCCTTAATTATAAAAATTTAAAATTTAAAATATTCTTAACTGCAAACAATTTTCAAATGTTTATGATTTTGATAAATGTTGTCGACATTTTTAACTTTAAATGCTTTTAAAAAAAAAACCATGCATTTATTTTGTATATTTATTCTTTAATATTTTTTAAACAGCTATTATACAAACTTATGAAGAACCAATACTTAAATGCTCAAGCTTTCGACCTAGAAAACATTTTTGTACCGCCAAAATAGTACCTAACCCATAAAAAAAACACTAAAAAAAATTTAAAATTTAAAATGGCTAAATAGTTTAAAGAAAGATAAAATATTTTGAAAAACCTATTTTGGATAGAAAACTATAAGATAAACATTTGGTCAAAATGACGTTTTTGAATCGCAGCAAAATAATAAAATCATTCGATGAGAAATCTTGAAATTATAGGTGTAATACTGTTATAAATGAGGTGCACATTTTCAAGTTTTTTAAGACTAAAATAAATTATTTATCAAAAAATGACAATAATATGCTCACAAAAACAAAAATCGGAAACATATTATGCTTATAAGCAGCTCAAAATTAATCAAAATTTTTTGAAAATTTTATCATTCATGGAAAATACCTAGTCACACAATCATTTGAAAAATTCAAATATCTGTGGTTTTTCGTTTTTGAATATTACAATACAAAATCAAAATCAATTTTGTCAAAAACTGATTTTATGTAAAAATTCTTATTTTTTCTTAATTTTGTATTGGTTTTTCCCTACGCGTTTTTGAAAATTTTTTGGATTTTTCGACCCTCCAAAGTACTAACTAAATTGGTAAAAATTATTCCTACCGGAAATTGTGCAGAAGTAGAATATCAAAGCATTATTACTGCTACAAAAATTGATAACTGGCAACAAAAAAATAAAACACTCCTCATTGTGAAATTTCTACATTCATTACTTCTTTCAGAATCTAAAATATAAATTACTTAATAATAATATGTAAAGCTTTATTATTTTGTTGACGTAACAGTTTTTATATTTTTGTTATTCAATTTTACATTTTATTATCAATTATAGGTTAATCAGTAATCACTAATCTATTTTATGTACATGCCTATTTGTGTTGTACGGCCGCGGCAACGTTGATCTTTTATTTATAATTTATTTACACATAATTAAACTGTAATATTGATAACTAGTATAACATATGTACTTATATAGTTATATATATATATATGTAACGATGATAATTTAAAAAAATTTTAACATCTTAGGTGTTTATTTTTATTTGTATTCCTTTTACTCGTATCAGGTCGTAATCGTTTACCTATATAGCTATATCTACATTATTTTAACAATTTATTTTCCAATCCATCAAAAATTTTTTGTACAATTGTGTATAAGAACATAACAAATGTTGTGCTTTCTGCTTGTTGCCTTGTTCAGAAAATTAATTAAGTACAATATTATTAAAATTACTGATTCAAGAAAAACATTTCATTTCATATGTCTACAGAATAAATAAGAATTGTGTTAAATTCAAATAAAATGTTACTAAACTTACAAATATTTTTCCATAGAAAGCACTGTTGCTTATTTAAATATTATGGCTGCTTATCGAAGTAAGATAAATTTCACAAAGTATTTGTACATTACATATATGTATAACGCCTAAGCATATACTCGGATATACTAACGAACTTTATTACTTATTAGGTACCTCCTGTACTAGGAGTATAGGAAGTTTAAATTGTGTATGTTACAATATATAGGTAGGTATATATATAATAAATATATATTATTATGTAAATGTATGTCATTTACAACTATTGTCAAGGTGTTTCATAAAAAAAGTAGACCTCCCGCCCCTCGACCGAACACCATAAAGATTTAATAAGGTCATGATTACATGGGTCGATTACCTAATACTATAAGAAAAAGGCATCTATGATAGAAGTAGGTACCGAAAGTGAATATGCGTGAGCTTGTACTCGTATTGTTCATTGGTGCTGAAATTAAAAATCTGAGCGTTTAGCTCGTTACAAATACTCATTATTAGTCATTATAGTATGTCATATGTATAAACTGTTTATTATATTACACAACAGTATACCTGCCTCCTGATGGATATACTTATTAAGTACAAGTTTCATGTATTTTATTGTAATTTTCTTTTAATCTATCTGCATTATGTTATTACAATAAATTGTTATTTTTTTGTTTTCTAGATGCTTAATGACATGTGTTACCAGTATTATATATTTAGATATTAATGAGGTGTGTCGCGTCATAAAACTCGTTTCGAACCACTGATCTTCCTCATTATATAAACGAATTAGAATACATTTAGACTTCAGAGGTACAAAACAAGCACCAAGTAGAATATGCCTTCCCATATATTTCATGTTTCAGTAAACTACCTAGGTTAGGTACCTATAAAATACAGTAATATACCCGACTAATAAAAAATATATTTTTATGTCCATTGTTCATTGCTGTGTATGTGTCGCATGCATTTCATTGTTATGGTTACCTAAATACCAATAATTTAACCAATTGTTGCTTTTACGTATAAAACAAATATAGTACATTATTTTTGGATTATATAAGTGTTACGGTATTATGTTGCTAATAAATGATGATAAATACGGTTTTATTGACATTAAACAATTTTTATCTTCTATAATATAAACTATGAAATATAGTAGGTATACATGATACATCTATATAAATACGAGTACCTTTATATTAATCAGCCAGTATTTATCACGCATTCACGCGTTGCTGGATGTTTTAATCGTTTTACTGTTAATTATCAATGTCATTGAGTATAAATTATACAAACTGTACAATGTACACTCTGTTTATTTGATCAGGAAATATAATATCATGTATTATATTTTTAATTTTAAACATGTAATTATAAGCCACGTATAGAAAACCTGATAACAGAAAATTGATGTGAAGAAAAAATAACATTTTTGTAACTTTTTAGTTGTGCATTTATGAATGCATGTACTATGTAAGCACCTATTGTGGTTTGATCACACGGTTAGGTAATGGGCCTTAGAGTTTTGTAAAATCTTCGCCTGATCGGTGAGAATTTGCAATGCAAAATGCATATCTGAATTTTCCAACACTGACAGTAATAATTAATAGGATTATAATGGTACTTTATTTTATAATTTTTATTGCGATTAATAAATACATGTCAACGTCGTGTTACAATTTACTGAAACATAATGCAAGTAGTTGACTTCTATAATATCATACCACTCAAATATATTTTTAATATTATTTAAATCTAACATACGATGTACTTAAATTTAAATTATATACCTATACTTTCCGTATACTATATTCATGCATGAATATTTTATACTACCATTAAAATATTCAATTTAATACAATACTTAAAAAAATGCAAATAATCAACTATACTTAACGCATTATCAAATATTTACTTTGATAGTTAATGCGTGTGCACCGTGGCGTATTATGATTTTTCATATCTAGGCCATGATTTATATGCCAACCAGGCGTATGAACTAAATAGTCCCCACCAAAATAAATTTTAATTTTGGCATTATATATTTACTTTTGTCTATGAACCTTAATAATAATTAATATTATATTATTTATTCCCATAATAATAATGCACTCTTCCGAATTATTTATGATCTAATAATTTATACTATATAATATGTTTTAATTTAAGCCTGTTGCCAAATCCTTCATGTGTTATTATATATCATAATTTATCAGTAGTAGTCCTAATAAAAATAGGTCTAACATATATCATATATTGTATACTATATTTTTTCAAAGATAACGTGAATTCATCTCAACACACTAACAACCACAAAGGTGCATTGATTAGGCTTTAATTTAAGGTACCACTGAGGGCAATATCATAAACCAATACAATTTAAGATTTCAATGATTTCTATGTTTAAAAACAATGCTAAATTCTGACTGTGAAAAATTAGCGTTTCATCGCTATATTTTTTTATTCAGGAAAAACGGTTTTCCTTAATGGGGGCCCCTCAAGTCACACTGCTCTGATGAATCTGCAAACATTCAACTGCTTTAGTGCTATGTATATTATATTATAGTTGATTCTGCAATCAGTACGAATATAATAAATGCACATCCAAAAAAAATGTATAGTTACGTAATTTTAGCAATTTAAAATGTTAATCAGCATAATATATAATACACATGAGTTAATAAAGGTGAGGTGATTGCAGATTTAAAGTCCCCTAAAATATTAGATGAAATTATTTTTTATATTGTAACTTTTAATTTGTAATTCATGTAATATAGATTATGATTTACAAGTTAACCATCCTCCACTACATTTTTCTGAGTAGTATCTGCATTTAAATTACCTACGTCTTAATTTTTACTCTCACAACTTGTAATGTTCCGTTAATCTGTTTCCTACATATTATTATTATCGTATATCTATATAATAATAAAAAATATATAATCGAACAAGATTTTTCAAAGTTTACCAGCGCAATAGGTTTAATGAACATTTACAGGGTGAGCCACGGGAATAGGGCAAACAAATGTAATATAGGCATAACACTATTTTTGATCCTATTCCCGTGGCCCACCCTGTATCATTTGTTATAATATGCCATATGGACTACCCACTAGCTACATTGCCACTGGTACGAAATATAATAACCGGTCGAGTTATAATATCTAAATACGAAAAAAAAAATAATACCTAGCAATTATTAACTGTGAATCACACCGTGCAGAGAGTAGGCAGGTACTTGTTATACTCACATTAGTCATAACATGTATATTATTGTGTAGGTATATTATGTTATGTACGCGTGGAGACACGGCGTGGCGGGAGCGGCAGTGGTCTTCGCGAATTAGTCATGTCGTTACATCCGTTAGGTGGTTTTGTTTCTCGGCGCAACGGTTCCGGGTTTTCGAAAACGACCAGTAGGCGGTAACTGGCCTCTTCGTTGACACTAATAACAAAATTCGCTAAAACTCGGAACAAAGTACTCATAATAATATATTCTGCTCAACGCTTATTATACTGTCTCTGCAATAGTTACGGTGTGCCTCGCACACTGAATTACATATTTTAGTTTATCCGCGTGTATAATATACCTATACCTATAACACGAACATTAACATTTTACGACCGTTGCATGCGACCGTTAATGATGCATTTAGATTAACGGGTTTTAGATAGCAAGTCAACTCGGGAGTCAGATGCATATAGATTCCTTTTCAGCCTAATGCGGATAATTATATTTTGATATACGATATTGATGAACTCGAATATTACACCTAACTCAAATAATGCGCATTAACGATTGCATATATAAATTATAAACGTGCGGTATAGTAGGTATATGAGTTCACCACCTAGCCACCAAGGTATGCAGCAGTAATACTGCAATTATAATCGCGTAGGTGCGAGCATAATAGGTACCGTTATATACCTATATGCGTGTACCAAATCAACGCACTCGCTGCTGCAGGAGTATAATATTATTATAATGTACGACTACATAGAGGTACTGCGCAACAATAACAAAACAACGTGTTATATAAATAACAATAATGTGCGTATTGTATGCGTCGTACGGTACAAGAGCGAAAAATAATAACAACAATAACGATGACGACGTAGGCGTCGTGTCGCTGTGTATTATAATAATAATAATATACGTGTGTGTAGGTAAACGCGCAACGCTCACCGCGGCCGCCGCCGCTTAACGGGGAAGGGGTGAAGGTTGCGGCCGCCGAGCGGAGGCGACAGCGGCGGCCGCGGCTGTCACGGTTCGCCAAGCAGTGGTGACGGTGGCGCGTCGCCTTTGGAAGGAGAAGTCGAGGCCGAGGTTTCTTTCTCTCACCGTGGCCCTCTCCCCTCCGCCGCTGCCGTAGTATTCGCAGGCGTCACGCGCGGTCGGCAGCCACTTCGATCATAACGACTGTACGCGCAGTGGCGGCAGATTGTCCGCAGATCCGTTTGTGCAGAGTTTTCGACGATCCCGCTGCCGATAAAGACTTGTCGATCCATAAGGGCGTCGTTCGACCGCTGTGCGTAGGTAAACAAAAAGTGCATCGCGGTTATTGGAGTTGCGCGGACCGCTGCTCCTCGTCTATTGTCTGCGGTAAATATTACTTCGCGGGTAGACCGTCGAAGGGTCGCACCACCGCCACAGATGGCCGCCGCACCACCTGCGACTTGCGTAAAAAACGATTTCGGTTGATATCGACTCCGACTCGCACCCGGTGACGACCATCGCGATGGCCGCAGCGGTAGCAGCCACCACTCCTCCGACGGCCGACAATCGGTGCGTCGGTGGCGGCGAACCGTCGGCGGTGACCATGCGACATCAAACTGTCGTACCACTGCCATCAAGTGATATTCCGGCCCTGACGTCTTCGGGACGGCGGCGGCGGCGATTAGGCGGGAACGACTCGAATCCACAGGTGTCTCGGAGTTCGACCAGCAGCTGCTCGTCGTCACCGGTGTCGTCATCGGACGACGACGAGGATGACGACAACGACGGTGGCCACGGTGGCATGGATGGTGCGAAGGCCGAGTTCGGCGGACGTGGAGTGGTCGGCGTTCAGCCTCCACCGGTGGCCGCCAAGCGGCTCAAAGACCTGCAACAACACCTGGTCGACTTGGACGACTTGGAACTGCTAGATCGTCATCTGGCAGTCGAAAATGCTACTGGGAACTCACTGCACGATTCGGCATCGGACGGTGGAGCTGCGACCGGCATGGTGGCCGAAGAGCTCAGACAGAAAAACAAGGACCTGGTGCTGGCAGCCCGTCTCGGCAAAGCACTGTTGGCTAAAAACGATGAACTGTCACTGATGAATGAGCGGCTGGCCGAAGAGTACGGCGACAAGCTAGAGGTACTTTATATGAACAAACGATTGTAAATCATTGCGTCCATATATTATAATTATCATTAATCTACGCATATTATGTACATGGTAAATGTCAAATTAAAAAAAAATAAGTTAAACAACATTGAAGACTTCAAAACGGTTTTAGATCCATAGGTAGTTGTATATTTTTTACTGGTAAATACTAAATAAAACTAACTTATTATATCAGTAAAAAAGAGAGTATCCGTGGATTTAAATCTGTTTTAACCACAGCTTTGGAAGATCTTCTAAGACGGTGGTTTTAACCATGAACTATTAGTAGTAGTTCATGGTTTTAACGTCACCACATCATAAGCGTAGAATAATAATAATAACCTTTTTCTCATGGCCTATCATCATCCTTTTCCCTCTCCCGGTAGTAAAGTGCCTGTCTTTTAAATTATATAATTCCCATATGTCATCATTCTCTATAATCTGCAATCCACAGCGCAGCATATCTCTCTCTTTCGACATCACGAATAGGCACATTTGAGGCAACAACAGTCTTGCAGCATATAGGTTGCTTGCCAATTTTATAGAGCCCCTAAGAAAATATTGTTCGTGACTTATCACTTCGCCATTAGCCACTAAAACTACACGGACTGGCAACCAAAATATTTGTTCGCTAAATCGCAACGCCGCACACGAAGTCAAGTCTCTAATTCGCGCTCGAGAGACCGACGACAACGACCACCGACCGTGCTTATAGCTGCAACAGGAGCAGAGACCCCGCGGACGGCTGACACGCGCGCGCGCGTGAATAAAACGATTAACCCGACCGGCTCCCGTATAAACGCCTCTGCGGCCGTAGTACCGCCGCCGTGTGGAACAATGTTCTTCGGCTCGGCGATTCGCTACAAGTACAACGATTCTATCTACCGCGTTTATTATACCTGTACATTATTATGCGCGTATACATAGACATCGTTCGGCAGCTGCTGTTCGGCGGGTCGCGAGTATTGTTGCCGCCACTGCCGAGGCCGCCATTGTACGCCGCCGCCGTCGTCGTCACGCTCTCACTCTTCCGACTCGGCGGCTGCGCTATTGTCGTCGGCGGCTGTCGTTATATGTACAGCCGGTTAGGTACCTACCTGCAAATAGCCGCGAGTGAAAGCGCTTATTCGTAGCCTCCCCCGTTCCGCGCCCCACCACCCCCGCGGCGCTGCAGCTATTGCAGCATCCGTTTTCGTAGCACATACCTAGTTACAAGGTACACGGGAACAATAATATTAACTATACTGCACTGAATCTTTGCAAGCCGAACCTTGGTCGGGATCGTGGGTATGCGTGCTGCAGGGTAATACGCGTATTATGAATTATATATTATATCGTTATATGTTTACATTTTTTATTCGCATATATTACTAGCTGGTTGCTGTATTGCCAGATTTTCTATCGTTTTCCGTTTTGGTTCGGTTGAAATACATACTATTCAAACACAATGAATTACAATGATTGATTTCATGATTTTCCACTTCTCAATAAATCCTGAACATATTTTTGATGTACCTATAAACGCAAATAATTGGATACGCCTAGATTTAACAAATGATACTAACAATGGCTGACGTAAATTCAATATCGTCAAGATTGGTACCTATTTGTCTTTGACCTTAGTATGTGTTTATAATACTTTATATATACATCAAAAATATATCCATAATTAAGGAAGCTAACCATAAAAATAATCATTGTAATTATCGTGTCCATGAGTATTGGGTTTTAAGATCTGTTTACTTTTAAACGATACTATGTTTGTAGACATTTGTATATAACTATTTCATATTTCTACTATTACTACAATACCTCTAGTAATATAATAGTCTGTAACTTAATGACACCCATTTGAATAAACAAATAAAATATTCGATTTTCTTAAGTCAAAACAAGCTTGTTAGCCACCCTATATAGCAGCTTATATGTGGGTTCAAAAATAAGCTATAACCATTTTCCGCGAGTCTCAAGGAATCTATATTGATATACCTAACTTTTATTGAGAACGGTCCAGTAGTTTTTGAGTCAACAGAGGACAAACAAAAAAACACCAATTTATATATATGTATATATATATATCTGTTCACGTGTCAATCGCGAAAAAACATAATCAAACAATGCGCGAGATTTGGTGTAGATATCTAGGCAGTATCGCAACCCGCGCGAAACTCCCCACCACCCTCCCAGGACTGGCGTTGATGTGGACCAAGGTCTCGCAGCCAGAACGGCGCTCTGCGTATAAATATACAGTCTGTTGCGCGATTGTGGTTGTGGTATAATATCATACCTTTACATCGGGGTTATATATAGGTATATAGGCTGCGGTTTGAAGCACCCGGGTCGGATGGAACGCCGTGGCGACCCGAACGGCGGCGAAAGGGTACATTCAGATACCGTGACGTAATCTACAACAAGCACGATATACGTACATTACCGTTTGACGGCTATAAAATCATTAACGGCGCACGTGTCCCTCGATATTATGGTCTCGCACGACTTTTCTAATATATATATATATAATAATATATAACAGTCGGGTATTATATTTTTGTACACGACCTCCGATCGTCGGCGGCGATGGCCGTAACACGCCACCAGCGTACCAACCCTTTGTGCGCGTGCAAAAATATTAGCGATTAGATTGTGAGTTGGGATTTGAGAATTAGTCATAATAATGTCGGTTTTGCCCTCTGGCCGTTGGCAGTGTTGATCACCTTCGCTGTGCACACTATGTATGTATATAGTCATATTGCAAGTGTATCGGTCAGATATAATAAATGTATAATATATATGATACTACGCGGAGGTGTATCTGTAGCTCGGCCAAGGGAATGCGAATTTAAATACATTTATCATATATACCCACGTCCGATTGGCACTGGCACAGAATGTACAGTTTAATATTTCCGACAGTATTATAGTATTCATATGATGATTGTAAATTATAATAACGGGTCTGATGATAATGCGTGGATTTTTAAATTGTAAATAAGTGATTTGTCTTTTTTGGGTAGGAGTCTAGAACATACTGTACTACTTAATATCTATAGGAGTTGTATAATTCGAAAGTTTCATGCACTCATATCAATCATATATATGGGTTAATTTTGTCCTTTAGAAAAGTTATTTGTCAGAAATGTATGACGTGCTTGAACTTGCGAAAAATTGCAACAATTGTATAATATGTGGAGGTAGTACTGAACATTAATTTTAATTAAACGAATTCGGATTATTATCGGTTTATTCCAAAAACAATATTCTCTTTCTTGAAAATACTAATCGTTTGTATAAAAATCGTATCGGCAGAACTATTGAATTAATTTTTAAAAAGTCAACCAATTTAAAAACGAAAGTTTTGTTATTAACTTCAAACCATTGATTATAAATGTAATATTAAACTAATTTAGTATTTACTAAAGTATAGTATTGTATATTATAGTCAACGACCAATTAATAAATTTGTTTAAATTTTTACATATAACTTGGGTACGACAATCAATCAATATCGTCGAGTCTCGAGGGCCATGAGCATTGAGTTGGGCAACATTGCAATATGAGACACTTGGAACTTATAGATAGTCATGACTCACAAATCGCTTAATACATATTATTATAATATTATGACTCATTTTGAATCTAAGATTTGAATATTTTTTTCTCGAATGTGATGATTTATGCAAATTAGCTCGAACAATAATAATATTATATCCTCATTTCCTCATCAATCTCCATTTACATAATATTCTTGTCATACTATATGATTATACCTCATAAAATCGTGACATACCTATTATAATTTATGTCAACAAAAAGAGAAGCGCAGGCCGGAAAATTAATTTATACATTGCACCATTTTTGTCACTATAGGAGATCGAACAGGACCGCCACCGGCTACGCAGACAACTGGCTCAGGCCAGGGCCGAGTGTGAGCAACGGTGTCACGAGTTGCAGGCCGATCTCAGGGACCTGCAGGCGGTGCTCGACAGCCGGGAACGTCAGCTGCGAGAGGCGGATAAACAGAAACGAGCCGTGGTCCGAGAGCTCACGGACCAGAATGGCAGGCTGCAGTCGCACATCAGAGAGGTTCGTATAAAAAAAAGTTCATAATATACAGCATGCCCAGAGTACCTAGTGTTATATGTCGATTATGATATCATAATCATGACGAGTTATAAATTACGTAATATGTTGCATTGATCCTGCTTTTTGGCACCTATCTAATATAATAAATAATGTGCAACTTTTTTGCCCGTTTTAATGTATGATATCGTCCTAACACGATAACGCGTGGAAAAACACTGTGGTTTATTACATTTTATATAATATGTATGTAGGTAATTCAGTAATTGGGATATTATTATGCAACGTTTGTCGTATAAGATGTAGGATTAATGATTATAAATACAAGGTAATTCTTTAAAAGGTAATCACTAATCACTTGTTTTTTCGAAAATAAACTAGTTTTGAGTATTTAAAGTTTTGTTAACAGGAGTGGCACAAGTGTACCCCTTAAAATATTAGTCCACACTATGCCACTCCTCTAAACTATACCTATAATATAGGTACTTATAACTATAGTCGTTCAAAATTCAATTTTTTTAATATATTGGAATAAAATTCTAACAAAAGTATTCTGCTTTAGAATATAAATGTATGTTGTTGTTCAAAAAAAGTAAAAACACTTAAAAATATAACGATAAAAATTTAAAAATGTTGTTTTGTAATGAATTCAAATTACCTAGGCATCTAAATAAAAAATAACTTATGACGTTAAAACTTTTTGATAAAATCAGTGTTTACCTTTAATAGTTAATACTTTATATAATATACCTAATATATTGTGCCAGATGCCTAGATAAACCTCGTATATGAATCTCGTATGGTTGATCCTACCTTGTTGAATGATCGAGTATCAAATAATTTAGTTTGACCATGAATCATGGTTAATATTGAGCAAATTAAAGAACGACGGTAGACGAACGCACGTACTTACCTCAAAAGTTCAATTTCGTTGGATATTTCTTGATTTGAAGTAAAAAACAATCAACAAAATACAAACTTTGGCCCAGTTCGCATTTTAGAGACCCGTGGCCCATAATCAAGAATAATTAAAATGTAAAAATATTCTAGTGCAATATAAAAGTATATTATTTGTATTATATACTACATATCCAAATTAATACAATTCAAGATATTATAACAAATTAAAATACCGACCTAATTATAATTTATAATATTAAATTAATAAGACAATAATAGTAACTAACCACCAATTTAATATAAAATATAGGTTGATACTTCAATAAAATAAACTGATCTAAACTATGTAAATTTTAATATACTCGTATTATAATAAAATAATACTATAATATAGGAACAATAATATAATATTATTATATTAGATTCTGAGTTTAGCTTAAAATTAATATATTTACCTAATGCTAACATTTTCTACACATGACGAAATTGTCTAAATATTTTAATGCTTTTTGAACTATACATCTATATATAGACATTTATTTATTTATTTTTCATAAGTGTCAATAAAAGTTTTTCTCCCGGACAAAAACCTTGACAAAATGATTACATGATGACATAGATCTTCATAAGTTATTATTATAGCTATATAGTTACAGTTTATGAAATGTTCAATATTTATAGCTACGGCTTAATAAATTTAATACAAGATTAAGTTGTTTCATAAGTTTTTAAAACTGAATTCAAAAAAAGTTTAGCGTGATTCCAAAAATATTTTTTAAGAGTGTCTGAAGTTAAAATGTTGACTAAATAGGATATTTAAGCGTAAATAAACGATTTCTCATTGCACGATTTTCTTATTTTGTTGTAATTCAAAAATGTTTTTCGTGTGGACTTTTTTATGTATATTAATATATTTTATCTACTTATAACACACCGTTTTACTAATAGTAAATTAAATTACTATAACAATTTAATATTAATAGGCAATAGCAATTTATTAATGAGATAATTATATGATAATAGTCTGACAGTCCATCTTCGTTCAGGATCGTTTTTTATATGCAATGATTTATCATTGAATTCAAATTGAACACGTCTATTACAGTGACCTACTCAATGATGAGATAAATTCGACTCCTATTGTACAGCAGAGCTGTTACCTACTTTCCATCTTTTTTCTTTGTTTTTATTATTACTTTGTATAAGACAATAGTTTTTTTACTAATTGTAATAAAACAGTTAGTATCAACATAAAATAAAATCATACAAATAAATACCTACATAATTGATTAGTTTAGCTGAATAAAATACATTATTTAATTATGACCGTGGAAAAAAAATCAAACAATGAGTAGATATTGAAATAAACTGAAAACACCAGTAGGTAATAGGTGTATACTTTTGAATACGAATGTATACCTATTTATTGAAAAAAAATCACTATAAGAACCTCCTGAGACCCGTAAATCCTATTAGTCCACTGACCAACCCTGCCGGCATGTATAAGTGCAGGCACATATTATAATCATCTATATAATTACCATAACCTTATATTTAGGTACTTATTGTATTAAGTATGTATCATATTGTTATTTTACTTTTTGTGCGCTGCAGCTTTCCCAGGCTGAAGCAGAGCTTCGGCACAAGTGCCGTCTGCTGGAAGATGCGCAACAGCCACAACATGGCAGCGGAAAATGGACAGGGATCGGAGGAGTCGGATCTCCCGCATCCATCACCAACGGCGGTTCTACCACCGATTATGGGTCGCTAACGCCCGACGACTACCGCAGCCTGGACGTGTTGCGTGATGAGGTAAATGCTTATGTTATTTTTGTCTGTTTTACACTGATAAAATATTATATTATAACACGATGATCGAATTTGACAATAGGTCGTATCGATTCGTCTGGTTCGCTTGCAGTCGGTTGTTGGCGATTAATCGATAAATCGGAATTTGGCCATTACACCAACGATTGACTGTCAATGTTTATATTAAATACTTAATAATTGTTATTACTACTTATAATTAATACCTAAATTAAAACACTTTAAAATAATCCATTTTTTTAAAATTGTATATTATACATCAATAGGTACATCATGATCATCTTTGGAAACTTATCTTAATTAACTAATATTTTCAATACTTGTTCAACTGAAATAATATAATGTTAGGATTTAGTTTGAGTAAACATTCTATCGGTTTTTTTTTATTTTTTTATTAATAATAATAAAAATGATTAATGGAACAAAATCTATCAACCTATAGTAAATGTAAGCTTCGCAGTGGTGTTTTATTTGAGTTTTGATATTTAAATGCTTATGTAAATACTATAATTCTGCTTTCTTAAATAGGTGTCTACTCGACACATTTTACTTGGTATTAAAACATTTAATTAATTTTTTTTATTTATGGCCACTATATAGGTACTCATAATGTTTAAGAGAATACGAAATCATTGTATCTAGAAAAAAATAAAAATACGTACCTATTGTTAATTAATGGGCTGTAAAGATTAACAAGATTTTATTTACCTGTTAGAATTCAAGTAAACACTTTGAAATACAAAACAATTGTTGGCGTTCGTTACACAATTATTTTTATAATCTTTTATACACACAACTCATTAGTGAAGCATTAATTAAACAATTTCTAAAACTGCAAATTCATCTCCAAATCACTTTTTTTTTTTTACATAAAGAAAATACTAAATTTATTTACATGATTATCTATATTTTTTAAGCTAATAACTTGTGTTAAAGTTAAAGTAATGCATTAATGATCAATAATTATTTCTTTTAATAGGTATCTTAAAAAACATATGTTTTATTTTATAGATGTCAAAATAAATTTGTGAACAGGAAAAAATAAAATTATATAATTAAAAATAAAACATTGTTAAGACTGAAATAAGAATACATGAAGCATAAAATACTTGCTTATTCTGAAAACAACCAATGGCATTTTTTAACATTAATTTTAAAGCAGTGAACATATTGTTTATATATACATGACATCGTAGAGTTAAAATACTCTGGCACCCGACCCTGTGTAATTTACAAAAGATTTGTTCAAATATTTCACAGGAATATTATTTAGTCTATATTTTTCCCTTTAACCTTCAAAAACTTTGCTTGTGTATTAATTAAATACATGAAAGTACGAAACAATAATTCTAAAATTATTAATGGATTAGGATTATGTCAGATTTTTTGATATCGGTAAAAGTAAATCCTCGAGAAAATATAATTATTCTGGTTATTAGATACCATACTTATACCACCTATATTTAAGACGTATACCACTTTAAAATAAAATAAATTTCTTTTAAAAGTAATTCTTCATGTAACAATGTTGGACAGTGTCGACTGGGTAAACTTGTTGTGTAGAATAAAACAAACGGGTGGTAACTATTTCTAGATCGATATGAAAGCAGCCGAGAAACAGCGACTACAGAAGAGGATGGCTGAATTGAGGGCAGACCGTGATCGGTTGGCCGAACTTCTCGAACTCAAAGATCGGCAATTGGCCGAATGCCGGGCCGAAGCAAACCATTATGAGCACAGGGTAAGTTTGACTAATGTCCATTCTTACAATGATATAGTATTAAATTCGAATGTTTACCAAATAATTAAATAGTTAGTTGCATAATATGAGAGCAATGTTCTGCGAATTTTAACTTTACATCATTCCAAATTGCTGTGTTACTTCATTGAAATATTAAAAATTTGCTCAAAATTGGTTTTCGATCAAATCAATTTTGTTTTGTTGTATTTCAAAAATTAACTAGAAGTTTGAAATATTCAACAGATATTAGAGTTTACTAGAAATTATATAGAAAATAGCTAATTTTCAAAATATTTTGAATTATTTTGTTCTATTTATAGACATTTTCAAATTTCAACTTTTTTAGTTTGTATTCAATTTATACATAAAAAATATTTTCTGAGTGAATAAAAAGCTTGAAAATTTAACACGAGGCTCCTTATAAAATATTCTCACAGTAATTAAAAAATATTGAAAATAAATTCATATATTTAAAAATTCATTTTGCTTACATGATGAAGTTATGAACTACTTATGAGGAACTTTGTATTAAATTTTCAAGTCAAAGCTATAAAAATTGAACGTTCAGTACATTGTAAACGACAAAGTAATTTACAAATTTTGAAGAAAAAAAAATGTTGCCTATGTATTTTTAATTTTTTTAAATGGTATATTGACAACTTTTAAAGATTTGTGTATTAAATTTTAAAGCTTATTCTTGTCCAAGTAAAACATTTTTTATTAATCTAAAAAAAAAATGTAAAATTATATTAATAAACCACTCAAAAAGAAGAAAAATGTTTTGAAAATAATAATATAACTATGTTTTTTGCAAATGTCAAATATTTGAAGTTACTCGATTTTGAATTAAAGCAAAATATAAAAATTGTTAAATGGTTAATCATTATTTTACACTTGAATATCCAATTTTTTAACATCAATAATACAACTTATGAAGAACCTCATATTACATTTTTTAATCTTAGGTATCAATATTAAAAATTAAATGCACATTTAAATAAAATAATTTTTCCATTTTTTCAATTTTTACGAAATTAATCAAAATCCAAACTTTGAACGGGTATAGAAAAATGTATTTTCGATAATTTTTATGTGCTGTTAAGATATTTTTCAAAGATCCTTGTGTTAAATTTTCAAACTTTTTTACTCGCATAAAAAATGTGTTTAATCAGGGCCTCTATTAGGGGAAAGGGGAGGGGGGGAATGGGACCTGGAGTTCAGAGGCCCGGCTATTTTAAGGACCCGTTGAAATTTTGTTAAATATTTATTTTATGGGGCCTGCAAAAACATTTAGTACTGGAGTCCAAAATTTGATGTGTATGTATAATGCATAAATTTAAAACAAAATAAAAAAAAAGTTGAAACTATTTAGAAATTGTATAAAATTAGTCAAAATATTTCCAAATTAATTGGAAATCACTCTAGTAAATGCTAATCTGGTAAATGTTTCAAGCTTCTACGGTTGTTAATAATTTAATTGCCACAAAACAAAATTGATTTTGATAAAAACAGGTTTTAAGCAAAAATGCTCTAAAATGTTTTTGTTTTTCTTATTTGTTCTTTATTCATTTCCGTCTAATATTTAGGATAACAACACAAAATTGAATCCACTAAACTTAAATTTGATATATTGCATGTGGGTTTGAGAAACAAATTGTGCGTTGCATGAGATGACAATTTGATTTAATGGCATACCACATACGATTAAGAAACAATTCAAAAAATATTTTTTTACTTAATCATAAAAAAAAATTTCTATGGGCATCAAAAGTCTACTTTTAGTTTTAATTGATTAAAAATAATAATAAAGTTAAATGTCCAGGTTAACGTAATCTGTTTTTGATATCTGTGAGGATAATATTATGTAATCAAAAGAAATTAGCCAACTATTAGTTTCAAAAATGTGAACTCATTTTAAATTGCACTTAAAGTTCCACTAATATATAGTAAATACATATCTATGGTTACGGACATCTGTGATGAGAATATCACAATAAAATGAGGTTAATTTAGACCGATTTATTGCTATTGGTTATGGTTTTTTGCTAACATCATAGTATATGTACGTCATTACAGGCATTGCTCAAAGTCATTACTTATAGGTATAACCTAACCTATATATATAATTAAGCTCACATATATAAAACACAGGCAGGATAAAATAAACATAATACAGGATATTACACCAGTTGCGTGACTGTACAATATTTATAACTTAATAAATTGCCTAATACCGAGTATGTTTTTCTACACAGTCGGCCATGTTGGCCAAGCAGTTGGACGACGCGCTCTGTTCGGGCAGCGCGGGGGACTGGAGAGGACGAGGCGGGAAGTGCGCCTCGTGCGGCAACGGTGGCGGTGCGACGACAGCGTCCAGGACGAACGGCTCCGGTGGTACCGAATCGCAGCCGATGTCGCTGTTGGCCGAACTGGAACAAGCCGAGGCGGCCAGCACGCAGACGGCCGCTGGTCCTCCGCCGCCCATGGTCGACGTAGACCTGACGGAACATCGGCCCAAAGACCCCAACGACTTCGGGACGGACGCCGAACGGTTGGTGACCCGGTTGTGCGATGCGCTCGAGCGCCGGGCTGGCCAAGCGGACGCGGTGTCACCGGAGTTGTCGGCCAGCACCAGGTACCGGTTGCTGAAGCTGATGGGCTGCGGCGGCAGCGGAGTTGGCGACGGAAGCACTGCTGCTGGTGGCAAGTCCACGGGCGCCGTTGACCTGGCGGAGCTGGTTCGCAACCGAGATGGTCGGGTGGCCGAGCTCACTTGCGAGGTACGTTCCAGTAGAGAGGGTTTTCACTGTCGGCGTTATTATAGCTATAGGGCCGTAAAAAAGCTCGACCTGATAATTTGTTACATTTTTGCTGGTTATCGCAATGATTTTCCAAGTGGCCAAGTACCTAAGTTTTCTTTACAACCGAAAATAATAATAATATTACAGTGGACGATATTATGCAACTCGAGTCGTATATAGGCCGTACATCAGGCATGTCGAACACGAGGCCCGCTACTTATTTTTTTAAAGTTTGCTGATAGTAATTATAATAAACAATTAATTAGAAAAAAAATTATACAATTTTCCTTTTGTGTCATTGTGTCACAACCATGTTATAGTGAGAGTATATAAATTGTGTTACTATCGTCTGATAAACTGTAATTGAATGAGTATTGTACATGTAGTATTGTAAGTAATGGATACAATTAAATAAATTGTATAAAATGTTTCTTTTGTTGATAAATTTGTATATTTGGCCGTAGTATAAACTATTCAATATATTTGGCAAAGTAAATACTCTGAGAACATTAATGGTCTGATTTTCGATTAACTTGACCATAGTACGACACTCCTACTTGGGCACATAGCCAGCAATTGGGGTGTATTTTAGCTTTATATTTAATATAACATGCGAGGAGCTTTCCACACTTTCCACTGTAATAATCAACTTTCATATTAATAATATCAAGTATGAAATAGAACATGACAACATACATTGTACAAATATAAATTATTATATTTCTAGAACTTACACATATGATATATATATTTTGCTTCAATACGGTCGGGGGGGGGGGGGTCAACACACAAACCATCCCAATGCTCCTACGTCCAGCTGGAATGCAACACAATGATGTGGTCGGGCGTATAACGTCCGTTCTAACAGGACTCGCTGAAAAGCATAATATAATATTGTTACAATAGATACCTATGATATATTATAGAGGTCATATAATTGTGTCATATGGGAGTCACGATTGACAAAAAAGGCTGAACACCAGTAATTAACTAATAAAATTAAAAATATACCTGGATCCAATAGGGAATTTACGGCCTCCACACATATCCATATCCTCATATAAAAGCCAGATCTCTAAGAGGATTGACTTTTTTTTGAAAAAAAAAATACTCAAATTTTTATCATTAATTCCAGTAAAATATAAATTATAAAACTCCCTCCGGTATAATAAGTTCTGGTTTTTTGGTTAAATACTTATATACTATTATAGGATATACCTATACCCCACCCTCCCCTCCCAAAGACAAAGTGTCTGAGTACGTTATTGCCTCGATTCGTGATTATATTAGGTTATACTATATTTTCTATATTTGGATTTATTGAAATCTGTGCTTCTTGTTTTGATAAAGGAACATTTCGTAATACGTCGATTGCGTTTTTTAAGGTAGACTTTCTAGAAAACGTTCTAATAAAACACCGTTTACTCTATACAAAACAATATTACATAATATAATAATAGGATTCGTGCTTGCCAAAAAACAATGTATTATTTCATAATAGCGCCTAAATACCTAGGTTTTTTTTAATAATAATAAACACAGCAGTTAAATAAAAAATAATAACAAAGGTATATTTCACATAATAGTTACGAACTTCATAATACATTTCTACTCTTGCAAAATTATTATGATTGGTAATAACTATACTTAAAATTTCTAAAAAGCATATGATTTCAACAAAATCGAGTAATATGTTTAATAAATTAATCTTGGAAATTTATTGAATAAAAACAAAATTAAATCTGCAGCTCGCTGTTGTAAAGAGTTTTATAGAAAAAGTCGAAGATCTCTCATATAGGTATTAACAAAATAAACATTATATTTTTCGCTGTTGCTGTCTGTCTATTCCTATCCGATAGATCCATTATAAAAATGTATAAATGCATATAACTACTGTGGTTTTACTATTTTATTGAACTTTTGTTTCTGAACATATACAGTTGTCCGTGAGAGACGCTGAGCTGCAGGCAGCCCGCGAGGAACGTGATCTGGCTGTGCGGGACAAAATGGATGCGATGCGAATTCAGTGCGCCCGATGTGGTGATGCGGGCAGCGGAGAGGCCGCCGACGCCACTTCCGGCTCCGGCACCGACGAGAAGGACGCGTCGTTGATCCCGGAACTGCTGAGAAAAGCGTGGGAACAGCGGGATGGAGCGGTAAGGCGGAAAAACGCAGTGCAGGTACAACTGGCCCGGACCCGGGTGGACGTGCTACAGGCTAACGGTCAACTGATGGAGGCCATCGGGCAGAAGGTGGAACTCAGCCAACAGTTGGAACAGTGGCAGGTTCGTAATATATTTCAGCAAATAATGTATATACAGCTCGCGGAGCTCAGCTCAGGAATCACACTAATTGTTTAACGACAAACTACTCTGTTGTCATTTTCTCAGCCACGCGCATATTTACTATTTCGATTTAACCACAATGAAATCGTATTTCTAAAATAGTACACATCACCTAGGTACTCATAAGTAAAAAAATTGAAAAAAAAAACACAACATTTCTATACATCGTGGTGCATTTTTAGGTTTTTACATTTTTGTTAGTGACTTCCTGACCACCTATTTTTTTAATTTTACCATCGAAAGCAGGATTTTTTTTTAAACAACATATTGCTAAGTATATTAAGTACAAATACTGAATATTTTAACAGATTATTGTTAATAATAATTTAAAGTTCAGATGATATTAATCACTGAAATGCAGGGTTAGAGCAGCGCCTTAAACTGTATTAATAGAATAATAGCTCTTTGTTTGGTTTTCAATATTTTTTATCATAATGTTTGGAAAAGCGTATTTTGATTCTAATTCTAAATATGAAATCATAAATATAGGCATTTGCAGTGGCGCACAAAGGTATTTTAAAAGCACATGTCGTTAAAAAAGTTATCCAACCACCCACTCATTTTTTTTTATCTATTCGCTGCACTCCACAATTATTGTACTCAATGTAATCAATTACAAAGTGAGTGTAAACTCACTTATTATAATCGCTGTAGTTCACGGAAATTAATTATGATTGACTATAATTTATATTATAAGTAAATAAGAGAGTAAGTAAGTATATAAGTACCTACTTCAAAAGTTCAAAATATCAATAAACTACATAGAACATCAGTACAGCCAGACAGCCAGTTAAACGGAATACGGATCATATCCCTTAACAATACTAGGTGCGTCCGTGGAAAAAAAGCGAGGTGGAGCGATACCTAGGTATAGCTATACGCCTATACTTAGTCCAGGGATCGGGATCCTGCGGCTCTTTGGAAAATTCCCACTAATATTAAGTAGATACGTTGTTTTGTGTGTTATTGTATTTAGTTAAATAATATTATATTTATATAAACAATAATAATAATAATAATAATAATAATGACTTAATGAAATAAAGTTTTTCTATATTTTCTAAATTTAAGACGTATCATTATGTTTTTAATGCCTACCAATTTTTCAATGAAATAATAGTACTATCTTTATTCTAATATTCTATAATATATTATCTATACTAACAACTACAACTAAAAAAAAGGTTGTTCAAACCTGTGCGACCTGTGTTCCTCTTGGACATCATGGTTTTGTAATTTTTTGAAAAAGTGGCTCTTTCACGAAAAGGTTCCTGACCCCTGACCTAGTCAATCAGATTGTTATATTATACATTCAATTTCGGTTTTGCAGAAACAAAATCCTCGTGTAAGTCCATCTTAAGAATGCGAATTTTTAAAGTTATTTTAATATAGTGCATTTATTTATTAAATAGTTACGTCGTGGCCCGAAGGTACCATAATATGTAAATTTAAAGTCTTATAGAAATTTTAGTTATGTCCGTATAGGTACTTTGATTAGTCAGTAAGAACATCTCATTTTATTTTTATTGTGTAGATGAGCAATTAAATAAAATTACTTTATGATAGGATCTAGAAACACCAAAAACTTATATATTCACTCTTATCAGATATTAATGAACACATTTTTCAAGTTTCACGAAGATTGGTCCAGTTGTTTCGGAAGAGATAACAATATTAGGTACAAATTGCGTTGAACTGCAGGGGGGTAGAAGAACTCTCAGCCTAATTTTACCTAATCTTACCTCGGTCCTATAATACATTTAACATATATATATATATATATGTGTGTGTGTGTGTCAGCAAAATCTATACATTTTTAATTTGAACGGTTTCAGATGGACATGCAAGCTCTACTCGACGAGCAGATGCGCAGGAAACTGCTTGCTCCGCCGGTACAATCTTCGGCCGCCGGTACGCCCGAATTCGGTGGTGGAAATCAGCAAAAATTTTCCAGCGCCGGAGGGTTCCCATCTATGTCAGCTTCGAGCTTAGGAAGTCTCGGGTCGTCGGGTCTGATGAACTCGTTGCTGATGATCGCCGGTGGCGGAGGGAACGCAAACAGATGACGCGGAAAACGATAAACTGTTGGTTTAAGAAACGGTCGTGAACCGTGCACCTATAGACAATAATATAATACTGTAAAATATCGTGTATAAAAATAGTGGATCAAGTTCGCGTATTAGTCATATCGCACCCAATTAACGTCTAAAATGGACCAATAAAAATTGGACTTCATTATTATTATTTTTTTTATTTTTGATCTGGTTTACATTAGTCGTCGATTTAGTTTTATTAGACTTGTCAGTGAGATTTACTACTTCCCATTCATCAACATCCCCTTTGCCCCTCGAAAATTTTTTATATTTACTATACTAAGCAAAGATTTTTAATTTTTATTTACCTACATGTCCACCTCCAATTCACATGAATTTCAAACTTGTGAGATGATATGAAGTTTTTCAAAATCGTAAATATGTGAGTCATTTTCTAAACTTATTTTGGTCTCTGTTCGTGTCATAGACCCTTTCCGAAACATTTATTAGTGATAGGTATTTACATAGTTTATCTGGCGCTTAGTTTCGGTTTATTGGTTTATACATGATATTCTAGACTGTAGTGTTGCAAAAACTAGTACAAAATATTTATAACGAAAGTTACCTCACGTGCGCGCACTCGTTGATATGATATTATACGTCATTATGGTGGAGAAGTTATAGGATTTGTTTGAATAATTGATCACACAAGATAGTATATAAACTCATAATTTGAAATTAATATAGGCCTTCCTCCCTGGATTTGATTCTTTTTGAAAAAGAAAAATCCCGTCAAAAATTGTTGTTTTATATATATTTTCATATTATGAGTTCAAAATGTCAAAATATTAAATAAAATGTATCATCTTATTATATAGCTAATGTACTTAATAGATTAATGATGTTTTAATTATCAAATACAAAATTTAATAATCGTACAAAAATACAAAATAATAAATGGATAATTATTATTTATTACACAAATTACAACATATTATTTACTGTTTTTAAAATTCATTTTAATAATATTATGCATAACATTTTTTGGACGTTTTTGTTATTTTTACTGCCAGTTTTTATTCCATCACTTATAAGCTTCTCTGCCCAATATACTTTTCGGGTAGGTAGGTGTATCATTATACGTAAACAATAAACTAATACTTATTGTATTATAGTCTTTAAGTACATAATACATTAAGACTAGAAACTATTACCTATATATATATTATTCAATTGTTGTATTAATGATAATCGATATTTTAAATTGTACCTTACACAAGGTACCAACCTATATATTATTATTGTAAGAATGATATTATAGTATTAAGAGCACATTCACCATTATGTATACAACCAAGTACAGTATTATATAAATGAAACATTGAAACCATATAATACACACATAATCCAAAATTAAATCTATATACCTGTTGTTATGTAAGTACTTAAAAAAAATTTCATATCTTAATAAAAAATGTTTATGAATGTTTTTCATTCTTTGTACTTATGTCCGCTATTCTGTAAAAATAATACGTTAAAATGTATGTCGGTGAATGCACCTATAGTTGTGTATATGTGAATTGTTAACCAAAAAAAAAAATTCTTTGAGTGATCATTGTAACACTACAGATATAAGATATGTATCTATAAAACAAATTTTTGAGACACAACATATTAAAATATGCATTAACTTTGCTGATGACTATCATAAAAACTTTATTAAAATGTAATTTTTTAGTATACAAGTGGCCATTAAGGTTTTATTTAAATAGTCAAAATTAAATTAAAATAAGTTTATTATCAGAATTAAATCATTTTGTATATTTATTAGTTATTACTTATTACAATAAATTAGATACGTGACATTTTGTTGATAAACAAGGTAAGGTAATAGGTTTCCAAAAACAGGTACCTATATAAAGAATTTTAAAAAATGAATAATATTTTGTAGAATTATAATACAATAATATAATCTGTAACCAATGGGGAGAATTAATATACACACACGACTCACATTCAATCATCTTTATCCGATTAAAAATATATAAAATAGACGTAATATTGAAACTAGTATTGATTGGACTTGGGCCACTTTTACAAATAATTAATGTTCATAGATTAATATTAATGACTAATATTTTCAAAACATCATAGCAACTATATCTTATAATCCCAATGCCATGGTCCTTTTATATATCCTTGAACACAAAGTTAAAGACTCAAAAACTACTCATACAAAATTGGAATTTGATAAGTCAAATTTTCAAGAAAAATTTTCCTCTGAATAATTTACAGTTGAAAGGGGGGTTCTCTTTTGAAAAACAGAAATTTGTACAGTCACAGGACACTCCTTAAGCAGTAGAAAAAATCTCAAGAATTTGGAATTATAGTTTTTAAGTATATTTACAAAATTCAAAATTGGGAAGCATGTGGATTACCATGTATAATGAAACACATTGAATATCTTATAAATTATGTACAATAATACATAGTAAGCTCTGAATGACTAAATACAAAAAAAAGAAACATACACGAGAGTAATTATATGTTTGTTATATTACAATTTACAACTATAATAAACAATACGACAAACAAAATGTTAGTAACTATCACCTATTTAACAATACTCATAATAAGCATACGGTATTTAAGCTGCGATAAAGTTAACATTTACAAAACAGTTCATTGCCTTTCTAAATTAAAATTTTTTTTAATGCTTTAACAATACATAGTTTTGCTCAAATAATTAATATAGATAATTTAATAAGTTAAAAACCTATAAAGGTGGATTCATTATGTCACCATGTGTTGAACATATTTTACAAACACTGTATCTGGATGAGACGATTATTTTTTTACTTATAAGTAGGGTGCGGATTTGTATGTATTCAAAATTCAAAAATATGTACATATATATGTATTTAATTTTATCCAAATATGTAATTAAAAATATAAGATATGTAAAAAAAAAATGTTTTTATTCTTGAAAAAAAATTTGTAAAATTAGTATATTAAATATGTAGGCAAATATAAATTATACAACACTACATATTATTATTGCTATTTTATTAACATTAATTATTAGGAATACATTCAAATTAAGTATTTATTCATTGGAGTTAGGATGCTGAAACAACATCTATTTCAATTTTGGGAATCATATTTTCAATGACACTTAAATTGTCGCAACAATATGCAGCAGCATGTAACCAAGTACCCCAGCGAGTTATCACTGGCTCCGGGGGAAGAGGTGTTTGGGGGTAATTTTCTTTAAATAAATTTACATAACAGGGTGCTTTAAGGAAATTTTTTTTTTAGTTGATATCAAAAAATCAACTTCGGAAAATTCTGATGTAATTTAACCTGGAGAATCACACATAATATAAAACGGTGATACATTATTAATTTTGTAAATAGCTCAATATTTAACAAAAATATGTAACACGAGTAAAATATGTGAAAATATGTAATATCAAACATAGCTTAAAATAATCAGAAAATCCTGTAACGTATTTCTATAAAGGAATCATTCGAATATTATCATGCGCGACAAATATGTAAATACATGCAAATCTGCACCCTACTTATAAGTATATGTATTTTGTTTAGTTAATTAAAAAACTTTTAGATGAATTTATGACGAGAATAATTGTTTTTTTTTATCTAACATATTATCATGTAATTTACAATATGTATGCCTGTTTTCAGCAATTTTCCTAAAACAATATTATTAAACAACCAAGTGTTGGTAATATTTGAGTAAGTATATAATATAAATAATTGAAATATATTTTACACAGATTAATCTGTGTCTCTAATAAATTAAACATATATTCATTTTTATACATTGTTCCTAATGTCGGTGGTCCAGTTCCATAATTATGATTTGTAAATATTGTTGAAGATAAGTTGTAGACAGTTTTTTGTTTGTATTTTTCCAAATTGATACAAAATATGGTGCTGGACACTAAAAGTATGTCCAATTTGTTTACCATACTGGATTCAAAATCCACATAATTTGTGGATATGACATCTAATCCTTTAAACATAGAAAAATGTTTATCATAACACATAATAATACCTATATGATAATCTAATATGATAATAATTATTATTATATCTAAGCTCGGAAATTAACTTAAGATTGAAACTTTTATTTTTGTTAGAATTTCTTAATCGATATTCTTCTAACTACAAATGTGTTTTAAAATGTTAAAACATTTTTAGGTTAAATTTGTATTTTTTTATGATTCATGTTGTTTTTTAGTTTATCAAGTTCTGAGCCTTATAATAACAATCTACATCAATAAATAATGATAGTAATTACATTAATGGTTTATAGAATAACATAAATTACTTTCAATTACTAATAAACTCTATGGTAATAGACAGTCTTGGAAGCTCATACACTGATAATTTTCTGTCAGAATGTGTTCTTTTTCTGAAAACTTAAAATCATCTAATATTGTTTTGACCTGAAAAACCAATTAAACATTATTACTGATTAAAATAATAAAATGGAAAATTAACAAACTTAAAAAAGTAGGCAGATACTCAAATTGAAAAATTTATTTAATATTGTCATAATATTTACAGGTATGGAAATAACTGCAATAAATAATGAGATCAAATATCAAATTTTATATTTTTTTAGTAAAACAGAAAATAAAATGAAAATAACAATATTATTAGTAGAATACGGATTTGTGTGTATTAAAAATTCAAAAATATGTACATATATATGTATTTAATATACCAATACATATACCAAATATGTAATTAATATACCAATACATATACCAAATATGTAATTAAAAATACAAGATATGTAAAAAAAAAATTTATTTATTATTGAAAAAAAATTATTAAATAAGTACTAAATATAAATTATAAAACACTACATTATATTATTATTTTATTAACATTAATTAGGAATACATTCAAATTAAGTATTAACTGGAGTTAGGATCTACTTTGTTGTCAACAAAACAATTGACAATCATATACTATTTTAGGTCGTCAAAAGTAAATTGACATCGATTAAGACACCATGTTTTTATAGCGGCTAAAGGACCTTTCCACGTCAAAAGAATTGACGAGAAGGTTGCGTATCGCTGACGTCGTGAATATTTGCAATAGCTTCAAGTGTCTTTAAACCTGGGTTTTTACTAAGTACTTGTTAAACTTTTTTCTGAATTATTATTCCAATCTCCCTAGGGGCTTCTTTCTTTAAATGAAATTTGCGAATGATATAAGAATCTTAACATTACAAATGAATGCAATTGGCTCAAACAGTTAATAATAGATATACAATTTATTGTTACTTACAACTAACATAATAATTCCAGTAGTCTCTGAGTTCCAGAGATGGTGATCAAGGAGAACTATCATCTCTTACATACTACCTATTTGGCCGTAGCCCTACAATACTAATCCGTGAGACTTATTTATAAAAGGAAGGACTTAATATCTAGTCAGCACATTGTATATTTTATGTTTGTAAGGTATATAATAAAAATGTACAATGTGCCTACTAAACATTTTATATTAACAAAATATAATTGGGTAATGATGTAACCATCGTTACAATAAGTAATATCAACCATACAGTGCCGTATTTCCCAGTAAACACTATAAGCTAGTGCTTAGGGCGCCAAATAATTTTTAATATTACATTTTTACTATAATATGTAACTATGTAGAACTAAAATAAAATGTTTTTAGACGAACGGGATTGTAGTAATATTTATATTTTATGTTTTCCAATTTCATAATCGTAGAGTTGTATGTTTTTATTTTTCATCATTAAAATTTTAAGTAAAAAATAAAATACTATAATTGTATGCTTTAATAACATTTTTTAGACAAGAAAAATATTTATATTAAAAGACGGAAAATTATTTAGTGCTTAAAGCGGCACAATGGTTAAATCCGGCACTGCAACCATAGCTTAAAATAATCTTAAAAATTTTAAAAATATGTAAATACATACAAATCCGCATCCTAGTTATGAGAAAGAAACAAGTATCACTATATCAGTAAACAATATTTACTAATTAAGCCTACGTTTTAAGCATGGCTGACATCAGTTTGTTGTAAACACATGAATTATAAATTATATTGACATACAGAAGTGGACATGATAATCATTTTTTATGTTCCTAAATTTAAAAAAAAACCTAGTATCCATCACTTTCAATGATTAATTTCATAATTTACGGTAGGGGAGTTGACCTTAACTGCAATTATATACAGGTTTCAACTTCAAATTTGTCACAACTACAATATAAATTACAAAAGTTCTTCAAATAGGTAAGTTATATAGCTAGGTAGTAGGTATTATACTTACTAAAGAATAAACATTGTTTGTCTTTATCATAATTACTAGACACTCAAAGACAGACAAATCAACATTTTGATCAAGTGTCTATAAAATCTACCTAAAACAAAATAGGGGCAAAGAATAAAAAATATATAATAGTAGGTAGGTAATGTCAAATTGTAAATAGTATGGATAATTAGTAACTACAATAGACTCGGTAAATATATTATTTAGAGACAACGCTGCAAAGAGAATGATGATCAAGAGTGATGGTAATCAGTAGTATGATCAACCATAAAACAATTTTAATTGAAATTTAATAAGCCATATATACATTTTTTTAAATTTTATTGTAAGCTGTAAATTAAATTTTTGTCTTCTGCTATATTTTTTTAGCATATAAATCTTAAAAATACACAGCATAATTTATAATATTCTATTTTAAAAAAGTATATTTAAATGGTTTTGGGTTGAAAAATCTATGAGACATTTCCATTTAAAAATAATAAATGTTCGAATATTAATACATTTGTTAGAAGCAAATTTAAAAAAAATACGTGGACCTATTAAACATATATGTAAATAACTTGTAATTGGACATTATAACCATCCATTTGAGAATGTTAACCATTTAATAAATTTTCATATTATATTTTAAAAACTATTCACCTTCAATTATTTTTCAAAAAATCCATATGTAAAATATAAGAATAGATAATAAATGATAATAGATATTAAATTAATGTTAGCATAATAATATGGTATATCTTAAACCGTTTTAAAGAAAAACAGAATAAAGTATTGAAAATATCCCAAAGCGTATAGTTCATCATGTTAATAATAGAGTAAAATGATAGTATTATTACGATTTATTGTGAACTGGGTATATTTTTAGTTTAGTGATTTCAACATAATAGTTGAACTTTTAGAAAAAAGTTTAAAGAAATAATATGTAATTTTAAAATATTCACCATCCATGTACCATGTTTCTCGTTGAGCCATAACATACAATCTAAGATAAGAGCGGTATTTGGACGTCCAAGTGGCAATATAAGCTTTAAATTTGCACAATTAGTACAAACTAACAATTTGTAAAATTATTCAATGAAAAATCTCATAAACAGTATATTTATTTATTTGTATTTGCAATTTATATATTGTTTAATATTTTTAATATTTATATTGGTAAATTTTGTGTTGGAAATAGTATTATTTTAAAGTATTACAGAATTATATTAATATTTATTTATTTAATTACATTATTAATTTAATCATTTGCACATTTATTGAATGAATTGCATATTATTATTTAGTATTTTTACTTTTAAATTTCTGTCCTGAGGGAATTGTCCCGTTAAGGGTGGAAAAAGCACAGTGGGAAATGCCTTAGATTCGATAAAAGCCGAGACTAATTAGTCTATACCTTAAAAATAGCAAACTTTGAATGTATATAACTTGGTCCAACCGCAAAATACAGACTCAACCAGAGATTTTTTAAATAAAAAAATGTGGTGTCAGGTAAAAATATAGGTACCCAATTGACAAATTGAAAATGAAATGCATTATTATTGAAATATATTATTTATAATATACCCATAGCTTATCTTTAAAAAAAATAACAAGAAACAACATTTATATGCAGCTCAACTCATTATTTACAATTAATACACTTATCATCTTTAGGCAACGTATTGTGCATTAATAGAAAAGGTTGATTGGCCTATAATCAACATATTATTCATAAAAAAAATAGTCACAAGATCATAAACCTCATACCTAGAAAATACAGCCAAGAAAGTGAGAACTGAGAATAACAATACTTGAGATTGGATGTAACTTACCTACTCAAGAATTATGGATAGTAATTAGTAATTAAATTGACGATATTATTGTTATTATAATATGTAGGGAGGCAGTTTTATATAGTAAAATTAATAAATAATAATGTAAGGTTATATCATGAGTATTTTAATATGCGATATGCGTATTATATTATAAGTTGTTTAAGTTTATAGATCTACCTTAGATAGATAGTTGCTACCTGTTGGTAGGAACAGTTGCTTATTAAAGTAGCAGTATCGGCATAGAAAAGAGTGTTTAATTCTTACCTAAAGTCTAGAGTTTAACTGTTGGTCGTTAGACACTTAGACTGTTGCAGCATTGATATTAAAACATTTTATGGATACAGCATTCCTATCTTAACTAAAGTCTAAACATACGCTTTGTTATCAACATAACGGAGAGAGAAACGATGGTTCTCACACAATCAGAAGCTACTTTAAGCAATAAAAAAATTATAACCTTGGATGATAATGAAAGTTATGATATTCTCAACTAGAATTAACTAAATGTTAATCTAGGCTTTGTCTATAATATATGGATATTACAGTGTACTGATATGACCGGGACGCCGGTTCGCGGTTACTGACATTTTCAACGACACCAGTGTCCAGTGCTATGTTAACACTTAGCAGTATAATTTTACCATAATAATATTATAATATATTTTAACCACGGACTAAGATATCTTAGTCCGTGATTTTAACAGTTTACAGCGTCACCGCCCCGTGCTGTACTCCCGTGCCGATACCACCGAACACCGACACCGCCATCCCCCACCACCATAGAATGTTGCGACCATAGATAAGAATATTTTCAAAGGGCATATAAAACCATCAATGTGGTAACAACTACAATAATATTTCCGCAAGACGGTTGATAACGCGCGCAATTGCCATTTGAGAGTTGAGACTGGCCCGCGCCGAACTATAGCTGTGGCGGTCGTGACTCCTACAACGGTAACCGCAACGACTCACTAACCGACGCCGCGCCGTTTACCGCCAACGAATCGATCGACGGACGCATCTCGCCGCCACCTATCTCTGTCGATAGGACGTCGCGACACGGAACGATCTGCCACGACCTGTGTACCTATACTTATAAATAATAAACATTTTAACTATTATTTCGGTCCGCCGCCAACCTGCTAAAAAATCCGATCGATCGTCGGACAACTTTGCCGACGAGCGTACTTACAATTGAAATTATTTGTTGATCGGCGGACGACGCGCCGTGCCCAATCCTCTCGGCTCTCGCCCCTCGTCGTTTCAGACTCGCAGCGGTCGCGTCATCGAAATTTGTCGTCGTCGTCGTGACATGTTGAACGCAGAACATACACACCGTCTCCACCGTTACTGCAGTGCCAAACCGAGCCGCTCTCGGCGCGCAACAGCCGACATTTTTGTTCGCCTCTTGTGAGAGCTAAGCGATTCGGAGTGATTGTTTTTCGTCTCAATACTTGTCAGTGATAGATCGGACATCCGAGACTCGCCTTGTCTTGTAACATTTGTGTTCCGTAGTTTGTCACCACCATGGCGTTCAATAACTCCGCTCCAATGTTCGTTGAAGGAAATCCAACCAGCGTCATAAACAGACATACATGCAAAATGCGAAATAAAAGAATGTGGAAATCATTACGTGCGCACATCTTGTCACGTCGAGAAAAGAGCAAACAAGGTGCGTGTCCAATTTTTTACATCACTCGTTATCGATTTCATTTGCATGCACACATAATAGAATATACAATATGATGAATTAATCACATCGATAAACGTGTATGACATGATTCAAGTTAATGTTACTGTTCAATAATTTATTTAAATATTTAGTTTCTTTTACTAAGATAATATATTAGAAATACAGTTATAGATAGAAATATTAATTTTAGTTTTTTTAGTTTTGAATTTTTAAGTCAATTTTATTTGCTAGGCAGGTCTTAGTTGTATCAAAGTTTAGCAGTAGGTTTATCCATAAAGTTGAAAACAATTAATAAATAACAGTGTTTAGAAAAGTATAACTTAAAATAGTTGTATGATAGGTACCAAGTTAGCAGAATAATAGAATACCTATCAATGAAGTACAAATGTGGCTGTGAGGACAATAGGTAATGAACTATATTTCATAAGAGTTTTTAAAATCCCAAGGATAAGCATGACAGAGCATTTAAGGGTGAAGTTTGTAAGGTTTCAATCTGAAAACCGGATGTAAAGAGACAGTGGGTGATAAAAAATATAGAAAGACTAGAAGTGGAGAGAGCGGAAGCATTAACGGGAGCAATAATAGCTCTACAAGGCCAAGAATAATCCAAAATGAATAAAAAGATTTATTTTATTTTATTATTTATGAAAAAATAGTTGATAGGCATTAAAAGTAATAATAAACAATCAACGAAATAAGTACTTTGTTAGTATTATCTAAATTGTCAAATTAGAAAAATAAACTGTTTTAAAATATAACATTAATATAGGTTGGATAATAAATAATATATAAGTTGTTTTTATTCACCAACAGATGAAGCTGATGCTGAAATTTTGAGAAAAATAAAATGCGCAGAAGATCAAAAAATACAAGAAAATAAATTATCATTAGCACAAATTAATGGTCGTTTATCAGAACTACGAGATAAGCGAGATGAACTTGAAGAAGAAAAACGTGAACTGCTGAATCAGAAACAAACTATTATAAATACAGTTATAGCAGTGCCTGAGCCTAAGTGGTATATTTATACTATCAAATGTATATTTTTGTAAATTGATTATTAGGTATTATTAGTCTATTATCCTGTAGGTCATATATTTATTTTTTTTGTTTTTCAGTGCAAACTATGATCGTAAACTAGTGACAAAAATCAAATTTAAAAGTAGTATAGTTTCAAATTTTGCTTTTCTCCAACAACAACATGAACAACATGAATATTTATTAGACATGCTGAAAATAGAACCTTGTATGGAATCTCCAACTCCTGAATTGTTTGAAGAATCAAGTCCAATATCAGATTCTGTGGTAATACCTACAGATGTCAAAGAAAGTAGCGAGACAAATAATTGGATTATACATCAACCAAATTAAATTGTATTTCATCAATAATTACTAAATACTAATTTAACATAATGTTTGTTACTGTATTGCAGTGGTCCATATTTTATTAGGAATAATAATCTTATTATATTGTTTTAAATTTATTTTTATAATGAAAGTTTTTTTTTAATTTTTGCATTATAATTTGTAAAATGTTTTCTTTTTATTTATCTAACTTTTTATGGAATATTAGATACTATTGTAAGCACTTTATACTATGTTAAATCAAGAGATGATCAATTTTAACTTATTCATATTCCTCTTTTATTACTTATAATGAATATACCACAATTAATTTTAATATCATTTGTTAGTAACCTATAATTAAAATTTAATTTGTGAATTGTTAATATACATTTTAAGCCTGTAATAGAGTGGTTAATTTCCATTATTATAAATGAAAATTCTAGCTTTTTAACTATTAATTGATCAAGATCTTCAACTTGTCCAGCAATATTGCATTTTTATTATTTAAGTTTAAATTATTATTCATGATCATCTGAATTTTAATTATTTTTAAAATGGTAGTTAAACAAAAATAAATAATATTTTTGTATTCAAATTGTTTTTAAATATAAGATTACTCTAAGTTATTTATTAGAATGGTCATCATTAGCGTTATAGACTGATATTATAAAAACTTTTAATTTACAAATATTAATTTTTAATAAAAATGTTTTTAATGAGATACAAAAAATACTGTTATGTTTGAAAGTAATTTTTAATTTTTAGGCTTCACTGTAATGTGATGGACAATTGGTAATTTTGATATATAATCAATTTAAAGGTTCATTTGGTTTTTTGTGTTTATTTTTGAACACTACTCATGTATTAATAAATTATATTAAACGTTGTTCTACTATTAATTTTATAGCTATAAGACGTTGTGGATATCAATTTTTTTACTCAATTTAGTACTCTGTCAAATTAGACTAAAAATTGTGAAAAATAATTTTATTCTGACAGCCAATATTTCGCATACTAGCAAATGGCTCCTATTATCTTCAACATACATTTTAAGTTCTGTCCTATAAAATATTTCAAAGATATTCATAATATACCATTAATAAATATTATGAAAAAGTTATTATTATAATATCTTAAAAAAATATGTTCTAACTACATAGAGAAGTTACTTATAAAAACTGTTGTGTACTTCACACCTTTTTTTTCTTAATGTATACTGACTTAATTAGCAACTGATAAAGAAAAGAGTATTTATTACACGAAATCTTGTACAAAATTCTGAACAAATAATATAGAGCTACATAGAGCTACATAGAGCTGTCTGTATATCTATTTTGTGTCATGTGTATGATAAATGTTTTCTGTATTATATTATATATTTTAGTATACATATGAAATCTAAATAATAAATGTTTGTTAATGTTAATGATATTTTAAATTATTTTTAAGAAGTAAATTTAATATCAACCAATATAAACAAATTATATTATATTATAAATAATAATTATGAAAATTTGTATATTTTTTTTTACTATGATTCATTTTTGTTAAAATAACAATAAAAAAGTTGCTATAAATACACTTGAGCTTAATAGATTTCCGGGTTCTATAAGTTATGAAAAAAACGTGTATCGTTATATTACAATATCTAATAATTTTTTAGTATTGTTTGTGTGTTTTCTTTCATTTAGGTAATTAATAAAAAATTATTTTTTAATTATAATAATATTATATGGATGGTTAACATCTATATTATCTTGATATTACACAATCCATTTTAATTAATTAAAACACAACTTTAAATTTAAAAAATGGCACCATTGATTTGATAAGTTTAGGTTATTTATAAAATTAACAATTCCAAGCTTGTATAAAATAAATATGATACCAAGATGTTGAAGTAAAAACCACTAAATTATTTTATTTATTTTGAGAACTTAAGTCTAACAACATTAATTATAATTATCAATCGCTAGAGTGATGAATTGAATAATTTTCAAAACAAACTACTCAACTCTTCACCAGTTATGAAAAAAACTAGAAAACAACCAAAAATAATGATAAAAAAATTAATTTTTTTTTATCAATCGGTTAATACCAGTCGGTTCCAGTAATTTAATATCAATTATTATATCTGTTGACAGCTGCAGCAAGCAGTAGCTTTATCATAAAATGATAATTGTTAAAATAAAAAATTTGAAGAAAACAAATTTGTAATATTTTATACTACATAATGATTGTGATAATTGACAAAAAAAAGCCAAGGGATTGGCAACTGCCTTAGTGCTCCTTGAACTATTAAGACAATTTTTTTAATTTTATATTTTCTAAAGAGAACACAATTTTGTTGTTACTTACTTTTTACTTTTCAACACATAAAATATGTTAAATGTAGTTCACGGATAATAATCATTTTTTAAATTTATACACTGTTGCCATTGGTTACAGAAAATAAAATAATTACCTATAAGCTCGAAATTTATGTTTGGTCAAAACAACACAATTAAACTGTGTTTAAAATCTTCTTAACATTAAATGGAGTTTAAATAGAGGTAAATCCACAGGCATTTAATTTGTAACATTGTGCCAGATCAGCTATGTATTATTTAATATATAAAGAAGAAATAATATTTTTATCTTAAGCATAATTTTTTTTAAAAATATTTATTATTTTATGCCAGTTGCATGAAGAATCGCAAAATATTTAATGATTATTTATTTATTTAATTGAATTTAATTGAATTTAGTTGGCTAATGGTAATTGGCTAATTACTTCATTACATTATATTAAACTATTAAATTATTAAATTTTCTATGAAATTCACCTAAGGCTTGTTAAAATAAAAAAAATTAATTCTTTTGTAATTTAGAAAAGAATCTAATGATCTCATATACATTTAAAAAGTAATTGGACATTGGAAAAATACATAAAAAAACATTCCACTTATTGGTCTAAAACCATATAAATAAAGGTACCTACTCAAACAGCCTTATTTATATAAAGTACTCAAAATATGTACTTTCAATAGTATTCAAAATACAGCATTAAATATTTGGAAGGAAATGGTTTTCTAAATGTATACTAAATACTGTATTTGGAAAATTGGAATACTACCAGAGTCTGGCTAGTATGCCTTAGAATTGAAATGTGTATAGTTTTTATAGTATTTAAAGTATTTGAATACCTTAAAAAGTTATTATATTGTTAACGAGTAAAAAATATCTTTATAAAATGTGTTATACCGGCATCATTTTTTTCATTAAATGTCTGCTATGTAACAGCACAAACAAAATTGAGTAAGTACTTTATGAACTTTCCTTGTAACATACAATATGCATTAGAATAAAATGTACAAAAGTAACAATACAAGATTATCAGATTTCGGTTTTACTTTAATGTAATGACAAATCTACTCAAATCTAGGATAAAAAAAATAATAAAAATAAAAATATTGCAATATATTATTTATATTTTGTAATAATGGTCAAGATATCATAATATACCATTTATTTTATATACTCAAAGCTTACTGGCAAGATAGTCAGGACTGATACAATTTAAAAATTAGTCATTCAGTCTATATAGAAAATTATCCAGTTTTCACTTTTTGGAGTATTGGGCTTGGTTTAAACCTCAACATGCAATACAAAACATTTAAATGTAATCTTATAGTAAATTATTGACACGGTTTTATATCTTAACCATTGTGACAAATTAAAATAAAAACCAATTAGTCAGATTGTTAATTATATCTCTAAAACTAATACAGATAAAGTTAGAAAAATTTTTTTTTAAATTTTTAAATTTTGTTCTTTTGTCAATGACTGATAAATGATTTCCAAAATTCATTAATGACCAATGCATATCGTTTATTACTGTTGGGTATGTATTTTATGTTATAAAATAAATAATTCATAATCATAAAAAACCTAAAAAAAAGTCAATAATTGCTCATTTAAAAGAAAAAGAAAATTTACTCTATGGCTCCATACACATAAATAATATAGGTTGTCATTGTAATTATGCAGTAATAAGTTTTTATTTTGTTTAAAATACAATAATATGTAATAAAAAAAAAAAAAAATGTTTTAGCTTTAATGGTGTACTGGTATTTTAATTAATTGTTGATAATGATACAATGATATAGATAAACAAACATTGAAGTAACTATTTAACTAACATGAAATAGATACCTAAGTATTTTTACAGTGTAGTATTGTAGTCATGCATTCTAAAAATTCATTTTATAATTGGATTCGTTTCTTGAACGAAGTATAAAATAATAATAGTTGAATATTAATAAACTAAACTCAAATCAATTGAAACTATTATCTAAAATAATGGTTTAATCAATTATTAGCCAAATAATTATGGTATAAAACTAAGAAATGTTAAAAAAAGAATAAGTTTCAATATTGTGTTGAAGTTATGTTAGTTATTTAAGCTATTCTCAATTGATTGAAGCTGTTGTAGGAGGTGGTGTAGTGGATAAATTAGTTTTCAAATTCCCTTGTTGTTGATTAGGTTCTGGAGGTGGTGCTACTATGGGTATAGCCAGATTGACACGTCTTGGGGGAGGTTGTTGTTGTGGCTGTTGCTGTGGTTGATAGTAAGTGGTCATGAAGGTTTCCTAGAAAAAAAGGTTCATAAATTTAATAATATAATTATAATATATTGGTGTTGATAAAATATACATTATAAATATATACTTATATACTATTTTATCATTAAATAATCAACGCATTAAGTAATACGATCAAGAAGAACGTACTCACAAAATTAATTTGTGAACATACCTATATCACATTAAAAATAATTTTTACAAAATGTTTAAATTAAAGCCAATGATTAAAATAATAAGCTTACTGGTTGTTGCAAAGATTGTGTTCCAGATGGTGGTGATGTTACACCTGTAGCACCTGTTGGTACTGGTTGGTAAACAGCTGCCTGAGCTGCAAGCATCTGAAGAGCAGCCGCAGCAGCTGCTGCTGCTGCATTCTGATCATCAGCACTTCCAGCTGCTGGGCCCGTTGCAACTCCAGAAGCATATTGGGGTGTAGCATACATTTGATGATGATACATAGATGGATCAGCAGCAGCCATAACCATCATACCAGTGTTATGATCAAGCACCATCCCATGATGTATTTGTTGTAAAGGTTGGTGATACTGTTGTAATTGCAATGGAGGTGGTTGTTGATGAATTTGGATTGGTTGTTGCTGTTGCAATTGTTGAGGCGCAGGTTGCATTTGTTGGTCTTGCATAACTATCCCGTTTTGTTGTTGAGGAGCCGGAGGCTGTGGCTGAGGTGTCTTAGATATTCCGCCAAAATTAAGTACTGGGTCAGGAAGCTCCCTACGACTTTGAACTGAGTATCGTTTTGAGCTTCGTACAACCGGCGTTGGAGGTGCAGGTGGATCAATTTGTTGATTTTCATTTTCATCTTGAAAAAATATATCATGAGTTATTATTATATATAAATCTAATTATTTTAGTTAAAAACATAATATGAGCCAAAGGTTCCTTAAGTTCACGGTTACCGGTAAATGATACTATTATAAAATACAGGAATGAAATACTGTAATAGTATGTCTAGACTCTAGAGAACTGAGCAGTGAAGGGTATAATTAATTACTGCATGAATTAATTTATGCTTAAGTGTTTTTAACACACATAATTATTACACTCGAAGTCATATTATTATATTGTATCAACATAAAAATAACTAATGCATATTATAAATTATGATTGAAGAATATTTGGAAGAATTAAAAATGATAACATGTTTTAGGATAGAATACTTACATTGACGGTTACTGTAGTTTTGATAGTGTCCACCACCATGTTGTGTACGCCCAGTGCCAGCAGTAGTAGGTGCTGCAGAATGATGCTGCTGATCGTAGTTGTGTTGATTTGAACTGGATGAAGATAAAGGTGTTGATCCTTTAGAAAAATATCTATCACGATTATATTGTTGCGAAGTTTGATGTTGATGGAAATTACGGCCACGAGATACTGAAGGCGAAGAATTTTGGTGCTGGTGGTTATGTCCTTGACCGCTTTGACTATTGTTGTAGTGTTGATGCTTATTATTATGATGTTGTATATGGCCACCACTGTTTTGTTGTGGTCTACGGTTAAAGAAATTTGAGTTAGCTGTTGGAGAGTCTCGATTTACTTGAGCGCCTTTCTCTTTGCCACTTGGAGACTCTGTTGAAGACCGGTTGAAATAATTTTTAGTATTAGTTGATGACGATGAAGAAGAAGGACCACCATTTTGCTGATCCTGGCGATTGCTACGATTTGTAGGGGAATTTGTACTATATTTTGAAGTTGCTCGGGATGACGGAGTGTGATGCCGAGCCTGGCTGGTGGTTTCCACAACTGAATCCACAGATTTTTTTTCTTCATTCTGAACAGAAAGTGTTTTCGGTTGTTGTTCTTGATTCTGATTTGAGACTTCTGCAACTGTAGGAGACTCATTTGAAGCAGTAGGCTCTGATTTTTTCGTATCATCCAAGGCTGGGAATTCAGAGGTGTACTCATCAGTTGTAGATTTGTTGATATTCTTATTCGGACAAACGACATTACGTCGAACCATACCTCCACGCTTAACTTTCATAGACTGTTGGCCGCCAGCAGCACCAGTGTAAGCTTTCGTATCCTGCCAACTACGAGTATATTTGGTGGTGGCAGCTCGCCTTAAATGAAAGCAATTGTAATTATTAATATACGCAGACTATAAATAAATAGTTTCCATCATTAACTTACCCATATTTATGGTGACGTCGAGCTCGAGGCGCCTCTGATTCTTCCCGTATGTCATATCCGTAAGAGGCCAGTAACTCATCACGGCTTTTACGTGTCTGCTCATTTTCATCGTACATATCGTGTGTCCACTTATCCAGAGCGTCTAAATCACGAGATTTCCTAGAACCTACACTGAGTTTTTTTGGCAATCCATCAGCAGTTACAGAAGTTTCAGAGTCTTTTATTGTAGCAGCAACCTTAGATATGGCCAAGACTTTTTTAGTAGATAGTGTTCCATCCCCAACTGCTATATCTGTGTTTTCAGCAGTATCTACTGGAGTCACTGATTTTTGTTTTTTAATGCCCGTATGTCGTCTTCTAATGCGGCGACGACTAATAATTATTAAAATAAAATGTATTATTTACTTAATATCAAACATGCCTAAAATTATATTTCTTAGTCACTACTCACTCAGAAACCCCATCATCATCTCCTGAATCTTCTTCATATCCATTATCTGATTCTGATCCTTCAGAGCTTGTTGTACTATATGCCATGCGGTCATCATGCTCATAGAATCGTCCACGCCTAGGTATGTACTGTGGATCATTAGTATCATCATCCACGGGCACAGGTACTACAGGTTCTGCAGGGGCTGCAGGCTAAAATGGAATAACAATCAGATAAAAATTATATTTAAAACTATTTTTAGTACAGCAAAAGAATATGCAGCAGTTTCAACCAAAATCAGTTCTTTTGCACATCTCCAATCAACACCTACTATAAGGAAAGTGGTTTTCATAGCTAGTTAAATAATTATAATGGTTTTCAAATGGGGGTTTTTTTTTAAACCGAATACCATTTAAATTTGAACAAATATTTTATTAAAATTTAGTGAAGGCTCAACTAGGAATACTATATATATACCTGATTATACAAATAAAATAATCAGGTCAAATATATAGTTAAGTAAATCCTCGCTTTCATCTGAGAACAGTAAAATACTTAAATGGAATTTTGTTTTAAAAGTTATGTATCAAATAATAAAATTGTCTGCCTATTGATAATTAACAGATAATACCTCGATGTATATAGGTGATGTATAGGGCTAGGGACTTCATGCCTTTAAAAACCTCAAAATATGCATACATTTATGCCCTAAAAAATCAATAAATATGCAATTAAAATATGCATTTAAAAAAATTATATTCTTTTACAAAATCATTAAACCGATCAGAAGGTTTTGGTTTAGGTCTAGGCATTTTTTAATTATTCTATTATGGGCTCATTTGAAAGAAAAAACACTCCATGGACCCAAAATACGAAGAATGCACAACACCAACCGTCAACTTTCACTATTCACAGGACCGTCTAGCCTCTATCTACAACTAGTCTTATTCTATAAAATGTTTTTTGGTATTATTATCGGCTTATCGCCTATCGGGAATCACGAGTGTGGATACCAATAAGTAACAATACAATTATAGTGTTAGGCAAGAAAAACGCAACCATTAATTTTTAAATATTTATATCTGATCCAGGATATCTATTTCAAATTAAAAAACTTACACTTTGTATAAAGAATATTGTCATATATGCACTAATATAATAAAATATGGTCACATATAAACTTATAGATAAAATATGGTCAAATATGCAACTATAAATTTTAAATATAAACTTGGATTGCTATGAAATAAATTTCTATATTAGGTACTTAGCTATGTTTTTAATGATTATTTAAAAACATGTTAACTCCTGGAAGTTTCGAGCCTTAGTGATGTACAATTCTTAACAGTACCTACTTACAGAATAAGTAATCCAATTAGAGTATAGAGAATTTAAAACTCAAAGAGTTTTCCATATTTGGAAATTAATTTTAATTATGTAGGTAGGTTCTTATATAATTTTTTAAACATTGGTATCCGGTATGTTAGTATACATGAAGTATTTGAATACCTTTTTTAGAAAAGAACATTTGATTCATGCAAAATTATATAATAATGCACACGTCATACCTACACTAGAAAATCGTGATAAAAGCACAATAAACCAAATATACAATATCAAATTAAATTATTGCTCACATCTTTGGTTTCTTCACCATAGTTTTCATCACCATCACCTCCCTCTACTTCTTGTTGAGAACTACTTTCATCATCGGGAACATTTTCCTCTTGAATAATATCTTGAGGCTGTTCTTTTACAATATTATCGTCTTCTTCATTTATAATATATTCAACTGCATCTTCAAATACACTACCTATAGTTGAGTTATTTATTTCATCAGACTCTGACTTTGTTTTTATAGAGCTATCTAGATTCATATCAGAATTTTCATTGATAACAAAATCCTTTTCAACCGTAGCTGTCTCAAGTTTCTGTTGCTCATCCAAAACTTTTACACTTAGACTGTGTTTAATCTCATCCACCTCATTAGTCGATATTTTTGCAGATGCCATGGCTAAATTTAACTGATCTTCTTCGACTCCAGGATTGTTACTAGTGGCATTAATGGTAATTGCAGTTTCATTTGTCACAATGGCTGGTTTGCTGACCACCACATGTTCAACATCATCAGTTTTCATAATCATTTCCATGTCTACCTTAATTGGTGGAACAATTGCATCACTCACAACCACTGGATTTGCCACATCGGTAGCGATGACGGCAGCATCAGTAGTAGCGACGGTGTCCGCTTCTTTCAAGTTGACAGCAGTACTCTCCATTGCAAAAATTTAACGTTCAACTATCGGTGGAAATTATTATGTTAATGAGGAACGGTATGGTTATATGAAATACAAAGTAAAATTACCCAGCGTTTACGACGATAATAGGAGCAGCAGCAACAGTAAAAAACCGAGGATTGTGATAAAGAAAAAAAAGAGAAAACAAAAGAAAACGCAAAACACGACGCGAAAAATTGTACCGAATTGTTTGACGGGTTTTTAGAGATAATTTCTTTCGATCTACGTCAAAAAACTACGCAGACCGAAAATCGAGTTGGTTGACGGCGGCGGCGGTGGACGAATGGTACAAACGATGCTGTCGTGCGCGACTGAGCGCTGCGAGTTAAGCACGCAAAAAATGCAGGTTGAAAGATCGGGCGTTGTCGTCATAAACAGATTCGGTTTTTTTGTCTCGGAACAGACGATCACGAACGTTGAACAACGGATGTCATGGCAAATTGCAACAATTTAATACTTTAACGTTTAACAACGAGTGGACGGGCGCCGGGGACCCAGGTCGTAAGCACCAGTGCAATAGTGCATCACCACGCGATAACGAATAACAATGATATTATCTCGAACATAGGCCGAACGAGGATTTACGGCGGCGGCCGATAACGCGGAAAGCGATATTTTGCATGGCTGCATACCGTCGGGTTGTTGTTGAACATAATTTTATTGAACTGCTTACCGGGTTACCGCTGATAACGATGGTGACGATATAATATTATGGTTATGTGACGACTGGCTACCATGATTTTGGAGGTAAGCCTTGCCACGTGACAGGAGGTAGAGTGTAGACTACCTATCAGATAATAGAACATATTTCATAAAAAGTGTTTGTAATATAATAAATTCTACGTTGAATCCGTCGTAGCTGGCCGTTTTGCTTGTTGTGTTACCTCTAACTGTAATGCCACCATTGTTAATAAAATTGTTGAGTGAGATTATCATTGATGTAGTTGTTGTCACGACTAAAAATATAATAATTAATGTCTTTAGTTGGGGTAGTTGTGTAACCTTAGCTATAGCTATATTAAAGTACTTACTACTTGTTATAGGCACCAGGTACCAGCTATCGGTGAGTGTCGTTGTCTCTGTATTTCATACGCCTAACATCCCAAAACGTACGTCCAATAGTTCAAATTTTGTGATGTTAGCTTCAATATTTGAGGGAATTGACCTATGATCAAACTTAATAATATGAACATTACCTGCCTTAGTTTTATGTGATATTTTGAATTTTTAGTGAGTTATTACCTAATAAGTAGATACTTATAGGTAATTTGTAAAATATTGTAATTTAAAAATTCTTGTAACTCGCTTAAAAATTAAAATATAGAATAAAACGTATGAGAAAATATGTACCTGGTGTCATAATGTTACTTATGACTATAGGGAACAGATTTTATTCATTTATTGTAAATAATACATAATTTTATTGGAATGAGATATATTTTTATCTGATAATAATGTTTACGATTTAGATCACTCTAATTGAAATAAACCCTAAGTTATCTTACACATTTTTACATATTTTATGTATAACTACATCCCTCTTTTGTAAATATTTTAGTAATTTTAATTTTTTCATATTTTTTCATAGATTTTTGGCGATGTCATACATCAACTGCTTTCAGGGTTGCCACCTTTTTGTTTTTAAAATAAAGTACATCATGACTTATGGAAATTTTTTTGCACACAAAATAAATTGTGAAAATACTGAACAAAACCATTAATGAGTAAAGTACAGAACAAAAAAAAAACAATTATTTAAACAATAAAAAAATGTGAATTTATTAATATCATACAAACATCATAAAATTAAAACATAGTATTAAGAACTAAGCTTTTTAACAAACTTATAACAATATTTTATTATTACATTATTTCTATAAATATATTATAAATTATTTTTATTAACAATATTTTTAAATGTATACTTTTTATTACTTTTAGCAGCTTTTAGTAATTTTTCATCTTTTAAAAAAGTATCATAAATTTCAGTGCATGTTTCTTTAACATTAAAAGTGATAATTAATTCATATTTGATAAGTTCAAGCCTACACTTATTTCTTTCATCTCTATATTTTAAGTTCATCATAGAAAATACTCTCTCACAGTAACTTGATGTTGCAGGAATACTATATATAAAACTAACAACTTTGTAAATATTTTTAAGATGAAAGTTATTATTTTCAAGATTTGCAATTTTAAATAAACTTTGCCATTTATTACATGAATTTGAATTAGTTTCTTTTAATAATGGTAACATTTCATTTATTCTATTGCATTCGTCATACAGTTCATTCATATTCAAAAAAAGTTTATTTTCTAATTTAAGCTCACTAATCAAATATAACAATTCAGAATATTTAAGTTCACTTGAAAGGTTAACACATTTTACTTGTCTTAACCAATTTAAATCTGAGAAATCAAACCATTTATTCAAGTAATTAATTGCATTGTTCAAAAAGTTTAAAAAATCATTAATAAGAATATCTTTGTTTGTTGACATTTCAATAAGTTGGTTTGTGTGAAAGCCAAAAAATTTATCTTTTATTCGTATTTCTAAAGATTTTTTCAATGAATTCATCGCATCATAAACTACCATAACTGATATGTTATTCCCTTGTAATTTATTAATGTATTCATTGAATAAGGGCAAAATATGACTTAAAAAGAAAAAGTATATTTCTATGTCAGTTTTTATTGTCACTTGATCATCACTAAAAAGTATTTTTAATATTAAAGGCGGGCATTTTTCCAAGGATAAGAAATAGGATTTAATTGGTTCCCAATTTTTTAGAATCATTTCTATGGCAGGCAGTAAAGATAACCATCTAGTCACTACATGTTTCTTTAGTTCAGACCATTCACAGTTCAAAAATGTAAAAAAATCTTTTAATGTTTCACGTCTTACAGAAGATTGAGAAAAATGAGCATATATTTTTAAAATTACATTTTCTATATCAAATGATATAAAATTCATTGCATATCTTACAGAGTTGTGAATAATATGTGCATGACAGTTTGCTTTTATTAAATTAGGAATTTCTTTTTTTAAGTTAGTATATAACGAATGATTTTTTCCAAAATTACAATTAGTATTATCAGCACTTAATGCAGAAACTTTATGCAAAGATAATTTGAGGTTTTCAAAAGATTTTTTTATATATGAAGACATTTCATCTGCCGTTTCATGTGGATTTTCATAAAAATCAATTAATTTATTTTCAATGCCACTTTCAATACTGAAATATTGGACACTGAGAGGAAAAAGCTTTACATTTTTTTTGTTGCTAGCATCAGTTTGAATAGAAAAAGCAATAACACTTTCACTATTTAAATAATCAATTATTTTATGGAGATAAGCTGGCCCTTATAATACTAAAATAATACAAAAATACTAAGAATAATAATAAAATTGATTAATATTAATTGTAATATTGAATACTATTACTTCTAAAACAATAATATTATACAATTTATTTGCGCCCCCACAATATCTATATTCCGTGTTAAGAATAATTGATGAACTATTTTCCTCAAGTAAATATTATAGGAAATAAAGTATTTTAGCGTACTTTATTAAGACTACAAAGTCCAAAGTACAGAAGTGAAAAAAAAAGTACAATACTTTAAAAAATAGTACGGGTGGCAACCCTGACTGCTTTTCCAAACGGCATACACGTATCGATATATGCTATTTAATTGGTACAATTTCAATATGTTTAATTGGTAATAAAAGCCTAATAAAATAACAATTAACAATATTAGTCATTTTTGACAACGAATAAATACCTTCTTTAAAATAACAAAATTACATTAATTTTACTTACTTAAATATTGTGGCATGCTGCTATAATATACGCTGTCAATAAGTACCTATACCTAGGAAACCCTTCAGTATTATATGATGTCTAGACTTTAGTTCGGGAGGAATTTGTATTGTAGCTTTTATTTGTTTCTCTTCGAACATCGAATTTGTGTCGTTTTTTAAACCAGTTTAAAATGAAAAAAGTTGCACGTATATTAAATATTAACGTAGCTGTGTACTTATAAGGATTAAACCCTACAGAGTATTTGAACGAGATGGGTTTCGTGGTTAAAAGTCACTCAATATTATCGTAAACCCTTAGAAAAAGTTAAATAATTAATTTCAAATGTAGAAACTATCTCCGCTATTCATAAAGTTAACAATTTGATGGAAAATGTTAATTTAAAAAATAATTTAAGTTACATTAGTTTTTTAGAACATACGATAAAATAACTGAAAACCCAAAATATGCCTTTGACATAAAACTTATGCGTAGTTTAGAAAGCACAAAATAAATTAGAAAAGCACCAAGACACATAGGAAATTAAATTAAAGAAAATATGCACATCATGTACCTATCAAGGAAAAATCACGTACAAAAAATATTAGAATAATTAGAGACCGGCATATCGTGTACACTTCACCGTATAACGATACCGATGTGAATAGAGTCGAGGTATAAATAAATAAAATAAAAATATATTGTATAAAACTAATATAAGTGTTTTAAAAATGCCACTGTGAACACAATAATATATGCAGGGTGATTGTCTCACGACTCACCCCCATTACCTTTGATAGTGAATTTATTCAAATTCTGATTTTTGGAATTTTTAAATATTCTTTAAGACTTTATTTTCAAATTCTTCAATTTTTTGTACTATTTAAGGAGTATTCTGTGGTGAATCAAACTTCATCTGTTTTTCAAACGAAAATATGGTTTAAAATATACAAGCATATAATTTAAAAATTAAAAAAATCAGATTTTAAATAACTGGATTATTGAAGAGTGAGCATACTTGATGAATCACCCTATAGACCAACAACATAATATTTGTATAAAGTAATATCGGTAAAACACGATTGCGTACAATTTTTATCTGCAACTTTGAACTTCACTGTTGCCATTTGCTTTGAACTTATAGAACAGGGCTGGCCAAACTCTTTTTGGTCACGATCTACTAAAAATATACTTCACCTTTGAGGATTGACTTATTAATCAACTTATTGATCGACTATTATTAAGAAACATAGAGCGCGTGGCCCTAAAAATAAATTCTAATATGATGAATTTGAAATTGTCCAAGATCGGTCCAAGTGGTACCATAACTTAAGTCATTTTTCCAATATTTAAATTTTACTGATCACAAATAAAAACATAAATTTGGCAACGTTGCACAGTAAATCATACGCAATCTTTTGACTTTTGGGGTAAATATTAAAGTTAATGGTTTAACGTACGCAATCGTGTTCTCAAAAAGATACATCGTACGCAATCGTGTGGTACCCAAGTAATATAATATCCTTACCATTTTTGAATTAATTCTTTTGTCTTTCCAATTATAATATATTGGTAGACACTAAACATCACTTGTTCCACTGCACCATGACCTAGTTAGGCGACCGAGCATGTCTTCTTTAGATACCAAATTGATTAAATACCCACATAACGATGTTTAAACTTATTTAAATATAGGGTTAGAATTTAACTATTAATATAAAAAATCAAACGTTTAATTCAGCTTGGATTTACA